AGACTTACGAGGGAAGTGAGAGGCAGCCACTGGCCCAATCTGCCAAGGCCTGAAGCTCACAGGAGAGAAGGACAAGGTCCCATTAGCAGGATGTTTAGTCATCAGAGCTGACTGCCCTCCAGGCCCTGAGCTGTGGGATGTTTAAGGTTGGAGACCCAGAGCAAAATGCACCAATGGGGGTTATCCTAGAAACAGGGGTTATGGTCAGATCCCCACTCTCAAGCCTCATTCCCACCTCTGTCCTATCTGCTCCTGTCACTCCTGCTTCCTTCTGCTTGGATGCCTACTTTTCCTGTGATGCCATTTCCTTGTGAACAGACCCATCCCTCAGGGCCCTAACAGAGGTCCCCCCCTTCAAGAGGCCACTCCTGGTACCTCCAGCAGCAAGGGAGCATGTGCTGTGCTGTGTGTGCCCTTCCTTTGTACCTGTGGACAGGTGAGTCTGCACTGTAGATAGTTAAACCTCTGTGCTGTCTTCCTGCTGGCACTGCAAATTCTTCAGGCCAGGATCTACCATGAAATTTGTCTTGCAGAGTCCAATGGACCTTGGCCAATTTCTTGACATGTGGGCTTCCCACAGAGGAAGCCGCACCTGCGAAGGCACTGAGATGTGATCATATATGTGGGAACTGGGCAAACCGAACGATTCAATGTGTGCAGTGTAAAGTACAAGGTGGGGGATGAGAGAGTCTTTAGGGGGACAGGCCCCTGAGGGTCCCAAAAGTCAACTCAGGAACTGAGATTTGCCCTGAAGAGGATGAGAGCCATGGGTGGATATTTAAGGAGGAGAGCAACACTGGTTGATGGCTCATCCAATGGGGCATTAAGCATAAAGAATATCAAAAATGGAGAAATTAAGTGGGAACAAGACTCCAGCCCTCTTCTTGCTTCCTCTGGCCCTGCTCCCACAGAGTAAAGGACGTTCTTCTCTGACTGCCTAGACTCTAGGCCCATCCCTGGCTATGATCACCAGTGGGCAGGGTCGTTTCAGGTTAGATGATTGTGCACACATTCCCCACACATGGTGGCCAGAGACTTCCTGGACAAACTTCAGACTTCTGAGGAACTCTGTGGAAACTCCCTGATGGTTTCTGAGACCATAAATTCACTATCTAAAATATTGACACAGTCACCCTGGAAGCTGGCATTTGCCTTTTAAAAGCCACCTTTCCTGCATGCCCCTCCATCCCACCCTGCTAGTGTCTCTTGACATGAAGCCTCCTCTGGACCAGCAGGGACCCTGGCTCACAGAGGGGCACCCCTGGGAGCCTTGGGCTGGCTGAACCTGCTCAGGCCTCTTGGAGTGACTGCTCTGTGCCCCGGTTATAAAAGGAGAGGGAATCACAGTGGAAGGTGGACCCCTGTATTATACAGGCAGGAAACTCAGTCACAAAGTGAAATGAGGCCCTAACCTGCTTTGAGTGACCACACTCACTCCTTTCTGACACCAGCAGAGCCTGTTGATGGAATTTCCTTATGCTATTGTGGACCTATTGGTCCTAGTTAACACAGGCCAACAAAAAAGTCCCATTGGTCTTCCTGAAATGTGAGGTAATGTTAGTCAGTGTATGAAGGTCAAGCAATTTCTACATGTCTGCTGCACAGCACATATCAGAGCTTTATTCATTTGGAACTGCTTTTAATTATTTGTTGCTATTTGGGTTGACTCTGATAATTTTCCAAAGTCATTTTTCTATTTAGAATTACTGATTAACTCCCAGTACTACATTACTACACACTTTTCAAACTGGAGCATGCACAGCTTCATAATCCCTGGAGTGTGCAAGTAGGATGCAAAACAGCAGAATATCTGTGATACATATTTCTGGAGCATCAATATTACTGTAAGGTTTGGAAGAACCAAGTTCAGTAATTTACAGTAATCACCTCCCTACCCCCCCACAAATATGGAGGAAAGATGTAGAAGAGTGGGGGAGGGAAGAAGTGCCAGGAGAAGTGGTCCAGTCTCTGAAGTTTCACCAGGTGGAGGTGGCTGGGTCAGCCAGCAGCCAGGGCAGCAGCTTCTCCTCTCGTCTCCCAGGCTGTTCCTGGCAGTCCTTAAAGCTCAATGGGTATGTGGCACCCACTGCTTTTGAAGGCCGTGGAGCTGGCAGTCAGCCTCTTCATTTGAACCCTGGTGAATGAACACACCCTCAGCTTGCTCACCTCCATCCTCCACCACAAGAAGTCCTCTCACATGGGTGTGCTGTGCACACTCGGCGCATGTACTTCCTGCACGGCTCCCACCCAGAGCTGTTTCTGTCCAGCGCCTGATGGATCCCCTGCACCATCTCGCTGGGCTCCCTGGAGGTCATGATCATCTTGCTCCGTGTAAAGTGCAGGGAGTGCGGCTTGTCCTCCCACATTCTCGACCCTGGCACAGAGAGTAAAGATCCCATGTCTGAGTGACACACGCAGATCAGCAGTTCAGAGCACTAGAACTGGGGACACACACCTGGTCCACATGTTGGCTCTTCCACTTAGAAACTTGAGAGTTTGGGCCATTAATATAGGCACTTAGGTATCTCCATCTGATAAGAAAATTAATAAAACTCCAGGTGAAGCTGGGTGCGAGTTGTTGAGTTAATGTATATAACGTGTGCAGTCATGATGGAAACTATTGGAGAAGATCGACAATGACATCTGTGTTGTGGAAGTGGGAAATAACTCCTGGTTAACACAAAGAATCCCCAACACAACTCACAGACACACATTCACATAGAACAACACAAGACCCCCAACCCTCATGCACACAGCCCCGCACCGCGTAAAGGGAGCACAGTTACTTCCAGGTACTGTACAAACATGGCCATGTTTTTTTCTAATCTGGAAAATCAGTTTTTTCCATGAAAACCCCAGTTCTCACTCCCATCAGGACCCTGGAATCATGTTGGATCTGGAGACAGGAAGCAGCCAGGATGCCCTCCTGTCTTATCCTCTAAGTATCTTCCTCAGCAAGTGAGGTGGTTCAGAATGTGCACCCTTTCCTCTTGCTCTTGAGATGGCCTCAGTTAGCTGAGAGCGCTGTGAGGAGCAGACCAGGGGGAGGGCCGTTTGCTGATATATTTTGTTGCTGTCGTTCTCTTGGTGACTATTGCAAAGCACATAGAAACAGGAGTCAAGTCAAGGCCCTCAGAGCAAGCTTAGCGTGCACTGTGGTAAATGCATGAGCTTCTCCTGGACCACACAGCTCTCTAGTCCTTTAGGTTAGTAACTACAGAATCTCCATCTCAGGAGGAAACCCTGCTTCTGAGGAAAGGGCCCATGTACAGCTGCCAAGCTGGTGCTGCCATTGTAGACGCCCTCTTGAATCAGATACCAGAGGGAAGGACCTCCTCTTCCACCCCCCCAGAAGACAGTGTTAATGTCTATATTGCACACTGTTACCTCTTCACATCTGAACTTAATCGATAAAGAGAGAAACGAAGAAAGCAAAGTGTCTATTTCTGACAATGGAACACGATATTACATTGATATTAGATAAGGCCTCTCCATCTCTCCTGCCACCAGGAAGCTCCTCCAAAGGGTCCTCCTGGGAGACTGGAGGATGCAGAGAGACTGTCAGGCATTGTGATGCTGCTCTTGAATCAGTCAGGGAGCTCTGCTTCACTGGACAAGAGGATGGGTACATGGACATGGTTTGTTAAATGTCCCCAAATAGTTGAGGATTAAACAACGTGCTTCCACAGAAGACATTAAAGAAGAGGTCTAAATAGAAATTTCAAAATAGTTTTAACTAGATGAAATAAAAATATCATTTGTCAAAATTCATGGGATGCGGTGAAAGTAGTGAATAGAAGGACATTTCCATGAACATTCACAGCAGCTTTATCAAAATCGTCAAAAACTGGAAATAACCAAGATCCCTTCAAAAGGTGAATGAGAAACAAACTGAGGAGTCTGGCTACTGGTTAAAAACCCGTGTGTGATTTCTCAGGACCCCCCACAGGCAAGTACAAAGCCTTTCCAGTGGGGTCCCATGAGGGGGTCTGTCCCCACACCGCAGCCTGGGTGCCTGGCCTGAGCCCTGCATTCTCTGAAGGGAGCTGCAGTCAAGCGCTCAGGCCCCTCTGGCCAGTTCTGCTCTTCACACATCTGCGGTCCTGGCCCAGGCGCCTTCACTCCTGGGTCTCTTTATCGAGGCCTTGGGCCGTGGTTCTCTTCAGGCTCCTCTGCAAGGCCGCCTCATGGGGGAGGAGAGAGAAGCCTGCAGACACTGTCCCCGCTCTCTGAGTCAGTACCCAGCACCTGCCCACTCCCAGTCCTTCTCTCTCGCCCTCCCCTGACCCCAGGGTCCATAAAACTGCCAGGCCTTTTGTTAGGGACTCCTCTGCAGAGAGACAGCTCAGACATGCACTGACCCACCTGACCCCTGAATGGGGTGACATTCCACGGGGAAAATGGAACGGGGAAGTGGGCACTTGCTGCAGTTTTAGCCTCTTCCTTGTACTGTCATAGTAAGTGGTTAGAGGCTTAACTCTTTCATTTTGTCCTATTGTTTTAACTGGCTGCTGTGATACCTGACAGCTCCCCTCTCTCTCCCAGGTCAGCTGAGCTCCTGATACAAACTTTCTTGTATCCATTCTACTCAGTGATAAAAACTGAATTAGTTATCAAACTATGAAAATATGAAGGAACTTTAAATGCATATTGCTGAGAAGAAGATTCACTCTGCAAAAGCTACACACTCAATGTTACAACTATATAACATTCTGGAAAAGGCAAACTATAGAGAGAGTAAAGAGTTCAGGGGTTTCCAGGGGTTCAGAAAGCGAGAGAGAAGAACAGGTGAAGAATAGGGGATGTTTAGAGCAATGAAACAATGCAGTATGATACTGTCATGGTGCTATATGACATTATGCATTAGCAAATCCTGTAGCAACCCTTATTCTAAACTTGGATTTTAGTTGATAATTACATATCAATATTGGCTCATTAATTGTAACAAATATGTCACCCTAATATAAGAGGTTCATAGCAGGGGGCATAGGGTGGGAGGGTGGGTATGAGAAGTTACTCTATTCTCTGCCCTTTTTTTATGTTAATCTAAATCTGTTGTAAATGATAAAGTCTACTAATTAAAAAAAATAACCTGGCAATGCTGTTTTACGGAAAATAATTTTAGCTCACATTCAACAATCAACTAATGTCCACATATTAGCTTGAGACATTGTTTACTATTAAATGTGTACCATGCTTGACTTCTAAATGCATCTTTACTGATGTGTTTGTAGCATTGCTGGTTAACTTAGTAAGTTAAAATTTGTATGAATGAATAACAAAGCATATGGCTTATCAGTTTTAGGATTTTACGTTAAATTTGGGACATGGAATAAACTAAAGTCATTATTCTTGAAACCAGTTAATAATTAAATTTCCACAATACTTCTATTCAGTTATTTGTAGAATGTACCCTATTTGGTAAGATGCCAATTTTTATGGCCCTCTCTTGAGGCTAGTAGTTGATTTCCCTGGAAACACATGAACTTTTCTTCCTATGTCCAAGTGGTGTCCACACTCTATTCTATTTTCAAAGGGTCACACAGGTGTGGATGGTCTTACAGACATCCTGGGGCACCCCATAGAGTCAAACTTTGATAATTCTTTTAATCTGTTCACAATTAATGCCATCACCATCCATCCCATTAAATGAGGCATTTCCAATAAATGTTATCCTTTGTTTTCAACTTTCCTAATATTTAGAATACAATTTTGTTCTTTTGATCAACTTTATTCTAAAAATATTTTCACTCTAAGACAGTATGGGTGAAATTTTATCCCACTTACTCGAGAACACCAGTCCGTCAATGGCCTCACCTGGACACAGGGCTCCTCTTCCTAATGCAGAACCATTGTTCACTCTTCCCCTTCTAGTAAGTTGCTCCATCAGCACACAGTCAAGTTTTTATTTCTCCCTCTTATAAAACCTCCTCTAGACTCCCCTTTAAAAACTCTCCATCCATCATCTCAATTCCTTCTTGCCCATTTACAATGAAAGTCCCCAAAGAGCCATCTATGTGCATTGTCTCTAAGTCAGCTCATTCACTGTCTCCTAAACCCGGGCCAATTAAGCTCTATCTTCCAAATTACAGTGAAACTGCCCTTGGAAAGCTCACAATGACCTCCTGTCCCTCAACCCAGTGGTCAAGTCCCAGCCCCCCTCTTGTGCAATCAGTGGATCACTCTCTCCTTCTTGTCAGTCTTCTTCACTGGCTTCCAGGGCACCACCCTCTCCTGGTCCCCCTGCCTCACTAGCTGCTCCCTGTCTGTCTCCTTTGCAGGGGCTCCTCTCTCTCTAAGCTCCTCACATTTGAGGGCCCCAGGGCGCTGCTCTGGATCTTTGGCTCTCCTCTCCATTGCACCTCCGTGGTGCTATCAGGCAGTCTGAAGGCTTTAAACGCAGTCTAAGCACTGACAGTTTCGAAGTGTCTATCTCCAGCACAACCTCCACCCTAGATCGCAATCTTCTTAACTTAGTGTCTGCACAGGGTAGTCTAATAGATCATCTATCTTGAAATGACCAAGGCAGAATTTCTCATCTTCATGCCCAATACTACGTCACCTATATTCTTTCCATTTCTGTTCATAGTGACTCTATCTTTTCCATCAGGACAACAACCTCAGAGTCAGCCTGGATGCCAATTTCCGTAACTTCTCACATCCACACTGTCAGCAAACCCCGTCAGTTCTAACTTTAAAATCTGTCCAGTGTCTGAACACTCCTCACTGCTTCAACTGCCACCACTCTGGTTCTGAACCTCCATCATCATTGCCTGAAGTAGTGTCGTAGTCACCTGACTTGTCCCCTTTCTTCTCTTCCTCCTCTCCACCCTCCAGAAGTTCATTCTCAACATGGCTCATGCCCTCACTTCCTTCCAAGCCTTGTGCAAGTGTCACCTTCACAGGAAATAAAACCGATTTCTTAAGCTCATTCCTCCACTCCTGATCTTATTTCCATATTTATTTTTTTCCTAAAGTTTTGTGACATTCGATGATTCATTTGTTTACCATTGTCTTCCCTAATTAGAATACAGGACACAAGAGGTAGATATTTTTGTTGTTTCTTTGCCCTATTTCTCTAGCCCCTAAGTCATTACCTGGGCATCATAGATGTTCAAGAAATCCCTGCTGAGTGAATTCATTTACCTCACTACTATTACTCTTAAGCATCACAACATCCAGGTAAAACTGACTTCACAGCTTCATAGGTGCCCTCAAATTTCCTCACTCTGTCCTTCCACATGGACCTTCCCTCCAGGCTGACATCAAAGCCATCCTCTCCCAAGACACAGCCCAGACTTTATCTCCGCCATGAAGCCTTTTCTCATTTCCCCTCCTTTCTGTTTTCACAGACCATTCATTCAGCTTCTCTAGCTGTTCCTGTAGTTATTTTTACATATGTCTCATCCTTCCAACTAAATTGTCATTTACTTTAGAGCAAATTAAGCCAAGGATTTTCTTCATCCTACACCACACTCAGCAGAGCCTTTATTATCACTATTACAGGAAAGTTCACATGTACTAAATAGGAGAAATTAAGTAGTGAACCTATATTGTCCCTCACCCTTCTTAAACTCATATGAATATGTCACATTTATTTCACATAATTCCCAACCCTTCACACATTGCTAGGTATCTTCTGAGGTATATTTTAATAAGATATAAACCTCACTTATTTTGTGTGTTTTCATAGATTAACAAATTACATATCATCATGATTGAACATTAGAACATTTCCATCAGCCCAACTAGTTTTGAGAGTACCTGTTTGCAGTCAATTCATGCTCCACATCCAGCTCCAGGCAACCATTAACTCATTTCTGTTTCTGTAAATTTGCCTTTAAAGGATTTTTAATATAAATTAAATCATGCATTTGTAGTTTTTTTGTCTGGTTTACTTTACCAGCCATATGTTGTTGAGATTCACCCATGTTGCAGCATTTATCAATAATTTGTCCCTGTCCACTGAGGAGGAGTATTCTGTTGTGTGGATGGGCCACCTCTTTTTATTTTTTCATCAGTTGATGGACATTTGGATTTTTTTCCAGTTTTGTCTCAATTCAGAAGTAAACACCCCAGTGAGAATCCCCAAATGTATGGACTTGGGAAGCTGCGCAAGATGCCTTGCTAAGTGAACAAAGCCATGTGAACAATTCTATCATCAAATACTCAAGTGGGTTATTTCTTAATGATACATAGATTCCTGAATGTGCGCTGATAATTTATGGAATAGCGCCCAAGTAAATGTTTACAGTACACACAGAATTTCTGTAGGGTAGAAGAGAGTTAAATGTTCATTTTACACTCTTACAAATTACACAACTTTTGTTAATTAAAATATTATTTTAAAAAATGTCTTCCAGCACCCCACTCGCCTGGCATATCCTGCCTCCCACAGGACCCCACGGTGGCAAGGAGCACAACTAGAAACACTGGTGCATTAGGTGTGGACTGTGAATGCCACAAAACTAAGTATGCAAATTTATTACTTTCTTCATTTTCAATGAGCGCTGTTTCATTTTTATTTCAAGTTTTTATCCATGCTTGAAAAAGAAGAGATAACCTAGTCAAATTAATCTACAAATGCTGGATTCCACACGCATTTCAGGTTTAAATGCCACATTCTGCATTTGCCCCCTCTCCCCTGCCCTCCATCTTGAGTTCCACGGTTTCAGTGAGGGAAGTTGGTGCAGGCAGGGGGTCCTGCCACTGCTGGATGGGCCCTGCCATGGCACGCCCTCTGTTCACGGGCCCATGTAGTGCTCGGCAGGAGTAGCCTCCCAGGAACCCTCAGAAAGTCAGCTCACAGCAGAGCTTGGCCCTTCACAGCTGCTGAGGTCAACCTGAAGCCTCTGTGAGGTTGGCACAAGGCTCCTCTCTTGGCCTTTCTTCCTGGTACCCTTGTTAGTGCTGTCACGTGGGAGGGCTGGGGAGTTTTTAAACATCTGCACAGCTGAATATAAATTCTGCAGGCTCAGTGTAAGATCAAACTGTGGGATCCCTTGGGCAAGAAACCAGGGGAGTGTGCAGTTAGAAATAATATAAATCATTTTCCTTTAGTTTTTATATATTAAATATAGTAGGAGTGATGATGCAGGAATAAAAACATAAATTTATACTTTACAAAGCAATCACCTTTCAGAGTCATACTTTATATTATACAATAAATAACATTATTCTCAAGATTCCTTCCAGAGGTATTGACAAAAATACAAACAACAAAATGCCTAGAAGGATATTAACACAAGGACATATGAAGTACTCAATTTGCAGTGACTTGCACAGCTAAGACTAAATGAGTGTTATATGAGAGAAGGAACGATCTTGGTGGTGGTCACTAGGGGAACTGATTTATAATCATTTATTAAGTTCTCTCATATTTGGATGCTTCTATATATATTTATCTTATCTCATATAAAATAGTTTTTAAACATTTGTAATATATACATATCAATTTATGTAAAAACCCCCAACAGGACTCTCTCTTCGACCTGCTCAATGCTGGGATTCAAGTCAGTGGGAATTATTCTCTTGGTGACTTTAGAAAACTGATGGGAAATCACCATTAGTCAAAGACCCCAAAGCAGGTGTGCAGCACAGCAGCAAAAAAGGCATGGGCTTTTCCAGGAGGATCTATCATCTAGGTCTATATTGGTTTCCAATTGCAAAATTCTTAATCCCAGGAAGAAAAATTTCTGCTGAGGAAAAGTCCCTCCCACACAGTTGATCAGCTGATGCTGCTATTTGTGAACGTCCTCTTGGATCAGGCATCAGTTGGTAAGAGAGACACAGTTGACAAGACCCCCACCAATGAAATTGCAGGTATCATCTATCATGTACATTGTCAGATCTTCATACAAGAGTTCAATTGAGAGTGAAATAAACCAACATGCCATGATATCTATTTCAGACAAAGATGGGTAGCCTTACCTTGGTGTTAGATGGGGTCTCTTCCTCCATCCTCTCATGAGAAAGCTCCTCCAACAGGCCCTCATGGGGAGTGTGGGGGACACAGAGTAACTGTCAGTCATTGGTGGTGTTGCTCAGGAATCACTCAGGGAGCCCTCCTTGATGTGGATACAGAACTAGAGTGTATGGAGGTGATTGATCAACAAGCATAGACTGAGCTGCTGCTGGGCCATCGTCCTTGGTAGAAGAAGCATAGAGGAGAAGAGGAAGAAGAGAGGAATGAGACTCAGAATCCTTAGATTTGGAGCTAAAGACAGCTTAAACCCACGTGAAGTGTTACATTTACAAAAGGAACTACATATATGCTATGATTAAATGACAATCCCATCAGTCTTTTTTCCCATATTTGAATTCAGCTAAACTGCCACTATCTTCTTGACTTCCTCCAAACCATCTCAGCCTCCATGGATCCATGTATGCTGCATTTCTCCTCAGTTGTATCAGATTTTCCAATTGACAAAAAGCAACCTTCCATTGGGGGACTGGGTCTAATTCCAGGAAAAAAATTCTTTTACTTATTCACTAAACCTTTGTCATAAAGATAATCAATTTTAGAAATTTTGAAAATACTGATATCCTACCATCTCAATTAAACATTGTTACTCATGATATTTTTGCTTCCAGTCTTGCTTCCCTAATGTAACGTGTATGTTCATTGTTCAGCAGCTGTCCATGCTCACACTAGCCAGCCAGGAGCGGGCAAGTTCACTACAGAGCAGATGGCTGGGTGAGCACTGATGCTCTCTGACCAAGCTATACAAGAGAGTTACAATGAGTGATGGGCACCAAGGTAATAACCAAGTAGTACTGTTATTCTTGTTTGTCAATCTTCCCAGGGGGAATAGCTTGCAATATTTGACCATTTCTAGACCATATTTTTATAACCTCATCAAATACCATTGAAATGTCTCCAATAGATAGTTCTTATCTATTCTGGCCTAGATGCTGAGGAATGACCCCAATACCAACAGGGATTGGTGCGGTTGTTCCACATGGTGTCTGGATCTCTCAGAATACGTGGCTGACCAGAAGATGTGGGTTTTCTACATGCTTTTTCTACTAATTTCTATGTAAAAATCTGTGGTAATATGTACCAATAGATGACCTGTGTGATGTGACCACAGAGGCTACGTTATAATGAAGGACAGCGATTGGGACCTCTGTATGTCCAGGTGATTTCAGGAATATGGATGGATGCTGGAACACCCTTGCACTGGGACTAATGTTCCAATTGCTGAGGGATGAAGGCCATAAATTAGTTCAGAGCTTCAACACTGGGGCCACAGCCTTGCATTCACACTTAGACTTTTTCACACAGGTTCTCAAGAGCTTGGGTCACTCATCACTGCACCTCATTTTCTGAGGAGTGGGAACAGCAAACACACGCACAGATATGGCTGTGGTGAGTGATGAGAAAGTCAATGTATGTAAAGCATCCAGTGGCTATGGGATTTTCTTTGAGGATGTGGCACTTACAATTGTGCTGTGTAACTAGGGCATATCTATGGAGAACTGACTTTCTCTGTCATACACACTCCCGACACGTTCACAATAACATCCCACAGACTCACATGCAGGCACCCCTAAGGCCCCATGCACACAAATCCACACCTTCTGAAGGGAACAGAGCTGTTCCAGTGACTGTAGAATGTGGCTGGAGTTCTTTACCTTGGAAAACAGTTCCTACACCACACTCCCCATCCTCATTACCAGCAGGAAGCTGGAATTGGGTAGGCTCTCCAGACTAAGGCCATCAAGAAAGCCTCACCTTTCTGTTCATCTGGATTCTTCTTCCGCATGTGAGTGTTCCAGAATGCAGACCATTTTCACTTGTTATTGAGGTCACCTATGGTTATGGAAAAGAAAACACTGCAAGGATCAAATCATACTGTGTAGGTTTTCTCAGATCTTGTGTCTTCTTAGTGAGTAAAGAATATCACAGAGAAAGGAGCAGTCAAGCCACAGTCCCCAGAAGCATATAGGACACCTGTGGAAAAGTACAAGCTTTCCCTATGGGCTATAACTCTCAAGTGCATTTTGGTTGACAGTTATAAAATTCTTAATCCAAAGACCATTGCTGCTAATGAGAAGTCCCCTTTCCATACAGTTTATAACTTGATGCTGTCATTTTTTTCCCTCCTCCCCAAAGCCCCAGTTCATAGTTGTACATCATAGTTGTCAGTCATTCTAGTACTTCCTTGTGAGCTGCCCCCACAGCATAGCAACTGACAGACAGGTGGTATGGTTCCATGACTGGCTAGTGAACCTGGGCTGTCAAAGTGGTGGACACTGAACTTTAACCACTAGGCGATCATGGCTGGCTCAATGATGCTGCCGTTTTTGAATGCCCTCTTGAATCATGCATCTGTTTGTAAGAGTCTGTCTTAGTTCATTCAGACTGCTGTAACCAAACACCATGGATGGGGTGGCTTAAATAACAGACATTTATTTTTCTCAGTTCTGGAGAGTAGGATGGGAAAGAACAAGGCGCCAGTATATTTTGAGTGTGGTGAGGGCCCTCTTGATGGCTTACACACTGCCTCCTTGCATTGTCTTCTCACATGGCAAGGAGAGAGAAAGGTCTGTTCTCTTCCTCTTCCTATAAGGATACCAATTCATCATGGGGGCTCTGCCCTCATAACCTCATTTAAGGTTAGCTCCAAAAGATGCACCTCCTAATTCCTTTACATGGGGGTTTAGGGCTTTGGCATATGGATTTTTGGGGGAATGTAAATATTCATTGTTATAGCTGTTTCCCCTTCTAGTCCCCCAAAATATGCATTCTAGCATAATTAATGTAAAGTGTCACATTTTCAAATTTGAAATTAATTTTAAAAAATCCAAAAAGGCAACATTTCTATGACAGACAACCTTACTTTGGCACTCAGTGGAGCCTGTTTGCCTGCCCTGCCAGTAGGAAGGTCCTCCGACTTGTCTTGGGGTGCTAGGAGGATACAGAGTAACCGTCCTTCAGTGGTGATGTTGCTCATGAAATACTCATGGAGCTTTGCTTTATTTGGAGAAGGGGCTGGAGTGCATGGATGTGATTGTTTGAAAACCATAGATTGAACTGCTATTGGGCCATCCTGCTTAGCGGAAGAAGGAGAGAAATGAAAAGAGCAGAGAAGAAATGAGGAACAAGGTATACGGCTTTGTAGAAAAAGGCAGCCTAATGCAACGTGAAATAGTCGCAAATGATCCTACACTAAACGCAATGATTCGGGTACACATTTCCATTATCCTCTCACCTATTGTGAAATCCTGCTGAACTGCTGCTCTCCTCTTGTCATCTCCCAAGACAATTTCATCCTCCAAAGGTACATATATTTACCACTGCAATTATCCTCTGTTCTGTATGATTTTTCATTTGATTGCATGCAATATTTTATTAGGTGACTGGATTCAATTCTAGGCAAAACACTCTGCTGTAATTACCAGCTAATGGTTTGTCATGAAGATAATCAATTACGAAATATAGGTGAAGCACAGGGGATTGTCAAGACAGTTAAACCATCCTCCATGGCTCTGTAATGGTGACATAAGACAGGGCATATTTGAATGTACAATGTAGAAATGTACAACAAAAGAATAAATCCTAATGTAAACTAAGGAATTTACTTAACAGCAATGTGTAAATATTTGTTCATTAATTATAACACGCACCACACTAATGTAAGATGTTAATAACAGTGTGAACCTCCAGGTGGGAGGAAGTACATAAAAAGTTTATCTGCTCATTTTTTGTTGTTGTTATTAATCTATAACTGTTTTAAATGGTAAAGTATATTAATTAAAGAATAATATGGGAGCAGCATTTCCAAGAGAGATGTATTTTGCCTAATGCTCAGTGAGCAGCTAATATCTAAATATTAGTTTGACACACGGTTTACTGTTAAATGTGAACCAAATTTGGATGGTAAATGCATCCTTGTTTGTGTAGTTGAAGCACTACTGATTGACTTGGTAATTCAAAGTTTCCCAATGTGGATGAAGAAAGATATGGCTTAGTGTTTTTACAATTTTGTCTTGAGAAAGGGACTTGGAAAAAATTATGATGATTATTCTTAAATTAACTCATGCATTGAATTTCCACAGCACCTTCAATGGAGGGCTTTGTGTGGTGCACCCCGGCAAGTGACAAGATGCCCGTTGTTCCGACCAACTGCTGGATTTACACTGTATATCTCCTTAAACAAGGTACAATTTTTCTCTTTGTATCCATAAGGTAAGATCCTGGGATGTACATTCACACTAGAGAGAGCTTTTGACATCTTGCTGGCAGAAGACTATAGGGAAATTAATAATAATTTATTCTCAGTTCAAACTTTTGATACCAGTATTCACAGGCTGCCCAACAGAACTACCTGCATTAAAGTTATGCTTCCAGAAAATCATGGAGTTTAACGTTCACTTAAAACACTTGGATTGTGTGGGAAAATACCTTTATTTATATAAGGCAACACAGATAAGCAGCAGAGCACAGTGGCTGAGAGCATGGGTGCTGGTGCCTGATGACCTGGGTTCAAATCCTACTTAGATGTCACGTGATCCTGGGACACTTATGTAACTGCTGTGTCTCAGTTAACTGCACTGTCATATGAAAACTTGAAGGGCCCATGTATTACTATTATATTATAAGGCTGTCACTATTAAAAACAAGTACAGCTTTAAGACCAAGTGCTGATTCAGCACAAATGCTCAATAAGACTTCAGTTATTAAATGTCTGAAGAATAGGTTACTCATGGCTAGTGGTTGACTACAGAGAGGCTACTTGGAGGGCTATAGACAGGGGAGGATGGAAGCTTATTTTCCATGCTTTACATGGGAAGGATGCCCACAGCTCATGGAGAATGTCTGTTTTCATCTCCTGTGATCCCCATTGTAATCCTATGTGGGGTGTGGAACAGGAGGCATAACACACATTTTTCAGTTGAAGGCAATTAAATTCAGAGAGGTTAAGTGACCTGTCCAGAGTCACAACACTGATGAATGAGAGATCTGAGGCAGGAATGTAGTTGGTTCCCTGGGTACAGAATTCTGAAAACCTGAGCCCAGTAGATCACACCCCAGATGCCTGAACCAAGAGCCCCCTTCATTCTCTTCCTCAAAACAACCTGATGAAAGGTTTTTGTGGGGAAAAAGTTGATGCCCTGGATGATGTGTCCAAACCAAAATAAAGGGCCCTTTCTATTTATGGTTCCTAAATCCATAATCCAGCCTCCTGCATCCACATTTCAATCCCTTATCCAAATATGAAGCAATTTACCTGAATTAAAGCCCCTCAGAAAGAAAAGGGATGTTCAAACTTGTGTTCAACCTTCCCCAGCAAGTTCACACCGTCATCGGCATCCTTATGAGCCTTCCTGACGGTTACGGGACCACCCTGAGTGACCAGTGTCTGTTTGGTTCTCTAACTGCCTCAGAACCCAGGGCATTCTAAAGCAACTGTCACATAATGGTTCTGACAAGAACTAGCTTCCAGTCAACTGACCAACCCTGGATGAGCAGTTAAGGTGAACTAACTGGGAAAGTGGCTGTCTGAGCTGGTGCTTTGGTGGATTAACAAACTAAGTGTGTGACTCTCATATCTGGCTGCGTAATGACCCGAGCTACTTCTGAGTAGCCTGTGCAAGGGCCTGGCTGAGAATCAGCTGTGGCCGCCCCAGCACTGAGGGTGCACCTTCCCTGCTCGCTCCTTCCTCACCAACACTCAGTCTCTAAAAATGCCTCATCCTCCTCAGGACCCTTCAGTGACAGAGGAAAGTAGCATCTCCTCTTGGGGGACACCTCCATAGCCACAGCCTGTGATCTTCACCCCAGGACTCGGAGAATCACCCAGACCCTCCATCCCTCTGTCACTACAAGTCTATTTCAGGGATTGCAGGAACATGTTGGAATTTTGTTACTTGCAAAATCAACTTATTTGACTAAAAGTACAATTTGCATTTTCAACAGGTGGCTGGAGTCAGGGTGGCATTCTAGACAAAAGCCAGCAGGTAAGCTCCACAATTCTTATATTTTTGCATCAGCCAGTGAGTGAATCTACAATATATACCATTTTATCTTTTTTCTTGATGCTACCCTCAGTTACAGAAAAGAAAACAGTCTTAGGACCAGATCCCTCTGTGCACTGTTTGCATAGGACTTCTGTTCCCTTTGTGACTGAAAACTGAGATGGGAAAGCCTGGTCAGGTCAAGGCTCCCAAAAGCCAGAGGAGACAACACCTGTGGACAAGGCAGGAGCTCGTCTTGCAGAATGTACCTGTCAGGGCCATGTTGGTTGACAACTACAAAATTCTTAATCCAAAGAGGAAAAATCCTACTGTAGAAAAGGCCCCATAATGTACAGTTTTTAACTCAGCATCACCAATTTTGCATTCACTCTTGAATCAGGTGTCAATTGTAAGTTCCTCCTCCTCAACCCCTTGAGTGAACACTCTTAGGCAGTCAAAATTAGGTTGTTTATAATGTGTATGAATAGGTGTGTATGTCAGAAATTGATTGAAAAAGAAAGGAACCAAGAAAATAACAATTCTACCTTAGTGAAAGAAAGTCCCTCTTAGCTTGGGAAGGAATAGGGCCTCCTCATCTGCTCTGCATTTGGGAACATTCTCCACAAGACCTTTATGGGGAGCTAGAAGGACACAGAATAACTGTAAGTTCAGTGGTGGTGCTGTTTATCGATTACTCAGGGAACTTTGCTTGACATAGACCAAGGACTAGTGTTTACAGATGTGGTAGGTTCACAGGCATGGATTGAGCTGCTCTTGGACCATCCTGGTGATGGAAAAAGGAAGGTAAAAGAGAGGAGCAGGAAAGAAAGGAGAAACAGAGCCTTTGGCACTCTAGGTGATGGCAAATTAAAGCAACATAAAATAACCGATCTATGAATGTGTAAACACTGAAATACATGCTACGTTTCCATGACTGAGTCCTGGCTCTGCCTTTTTTGAAGCTCAGCAGAACTGTCGCTACTTTCTTGACATCTTCGAAAACTGTTTGTCTCCAAGGATCTACATATGTTTCTACTTCATTCATCATGTGTTGTTGAGGAATTTGCCCTTGATTATTCACAAACTATTATTAGGGTATTGGATTAAATATCAGACACGACATTTAATTTTATATATTCACTAATCATTTGTTATAAAAATAATCAATTATTGAAGACTAGAGAATACTGAAATTCACACATTTAAAAATAACCACTGTAAACCATAAATCTTCCTTACAATCTTCCTTTTCTATGGCACGTGTTTGTTTTATTTTGTGTGTGGTTGTCTATGACCAGCCAACCAGCAGTGGACAGAGCACAACTGGGAGCAGCCCCTGCTGAGCACTGAGGGTCTTAAACCCATCCATGCAAGAGAGTGGCCATTTGAGTATCTATACTGGATCAATTTCTATTCAATCCTCTGTCTAATTTTGAACTGAGTTGTCAGTGTTCTTTGCCATTGAGTTTTAGGAGTTCCATACATTTTCTGGATAATTATCCCTTATTAGGTGTACGATTTGCAAATATTTTCTCACATTTTGTGGGTTTCATTTTAATCTCTTGATAGTGTCTTTTGATGCACATTTTAAAAAAATCATGAATCCAGTTTGTCAATATATTTTGTTTCCTGTGCATTTGGTGTCATCTCCAAGAACACGTAGGAAAGCCAATATTGTGAAGCCCTTAGAAAAATGCCTGTTACAGAGTTGGTTGCTAGCGATTGTTCCATTTATAAATCTAGAAGGAAATGGGAAATTTAACCCTGTTACTTCTAGAGGCAGAAACTGGAAGGATGTGAAGAAGGAAAGAAGGAAACTCAGATTTTAATATACACACTTTTGTACATTGTGAGTTTTCTGTGAGAGCATTATTCTTATTGCTATTACTGTACAAAACAAACCAAAAGGAAAAAATAATTAAAAATTTCCCCAAAATACTGGCATAGAAACACGACTTAATTTTGCTCATGGTCACAGGATAGGAATTCAGACAAGACACAGTAGGGATGGCTCCTTTCTGCTCTATGATGTTGGGACCTCAGCAGAGAAGATTCCCCGGCTGGGCCTGACTGGACATTCAGGTACTGGAATCCTCTGGAAGTGACTTCACTCCCAAGTCTGTCGTTGATGCTGGATTTGGTTGGAGGACCTACAGGAGACCTCCCCCAGTGACCTGGGTTTCCCCACAGCAGGGCAGTCTCAGGGCATTCAGGCCTCTTATTTGGTGGCTAAGGGCTTCACAGGGGAGTGACCTAAGTGATCAGGCAGAAGCTATGGTATTTCAAACATAATTTTAAACATGACACATTATCATTTCTGGCACGACTGTCAGTGACAAGGAGCACTAGAGTCAGCTCTGCATACAGGGAGGGGCCTAGACCCCAACTCTCAATGGGAGGAGTGTCAGGTTGTAACAAAGCCCTCTCCCTGTAGTGTCAGTACAAACCTTGTGGGTGCCTGGATTCCCACTCCTCACCCAGCAGTGAAGAGCTGCCCCTCCCCACCCCCCAGGGGTAGACACAGAGCAGGCCTAGTGCAGAGTGAGGACCTTCATCATCGCCATGTGGTAATGAGCTGCTCTGCCCTCCTAGTGTCAGTGTAGGCACATCTGAATCAATAAGGAGACACACCTACCTCTTCCATCCAAGGAAGGTGGAGCTCTGGTGGGAAGTCAGCACTTCTACCCTCTCCAGCAGGAAAAAGATCCCCACCTGGAATGAGGAGTCTGAACATTTTCCCACACCTGGAAGGAATGAGGTGTTGCTCACCTCTTCTCCTCTGCTGGAGTGATGTAACAGAAAGCCAGCTAAGACAAAAAGTTTAAATAATATCCAGAGTCTCATAATATAATACCCAAAATGTTCAACTTTAAATAGAAAATAATTCTTCATATTAAGATTCAGGAAAATATCACACTTAGTGAAGAAAGACAAACAGCAGATGCCAATACAGACATGACAAAAATGTTAGAATTATCCGACAATGATTTAAATAAGCTATTATTAAAATAAATTAGCACACATATGAATAAAATTGAAACAAATGGAATAATTGAAAGTCTCAGCAAGGAAATAGAGGATATAAAGAAAAATCAAATGGAAATTTTACAACTGAAAAATACACTCATCAAATTAAAACACATCCACAGAAATAGCTTGATAGACCAGATCATCTGTTGAATGAGGGGTTGGGGGTGACCAATGACTGTGAAGACAGAACAACTGAAATTTCCCAAACTGGATGAAAGACAAAAAATAGACTTGAGAAAAATCAGTGGAGCCTTTGGACCTATGGGATTCTAACAAAGCCCTAACATTCTTATCAGATTCCTGGAAGGGGGAAGAAATAACGAGAGGCTGAAAATGTACCTGAAGAAACAATGGCTGAAAACTTACCAAATTTGGTAAAAGCAAGAAGCTTGCATACTCAAGAAGCTGAGCAATCTCTAAACAGAATAAACCTAAGGAAATTCATATGAAGATATATCACAGTCAAACTTCTGAAAACTGAAATCCAGGAACATGTTTTGAACATGGCAAGAAAAATGACACTGAGCCTATAAAGGAAACAGAGTTTGAATCCCAGTAGGTTTCTCGTTAGAAAGCATGGAGGCCAGTAGCGAATGGCACACCATTTTAAGCACCGAAAGAAAAAAATTGTCAAGCCAAAATCTTATATCCAGAGAAAATATCCTTAAAGAATGAAGTGGAAATTAAGACATTTTCAGGTTAAGGAAATATAAGAGGACTTGTCATCAACAAACCTAACCTAAAAAAAATGCTTAAAGTTCTCTAAACAGAGAGGGAACAATAAAGGAAGGAACGTTGGAAATCAGGAGGAAACAAAGAACACAACAAGCAAAACTATGGAAAATACAACATATTTTCCTTCTCCTTGTTTTGTAACTTGATAGTTGAATAAAAATTTACAACACTGATATTTAAATATATAGAGGAAATAATTAAGTGATTAAATTACCAATAGGAGAAGGCAAAGGGATCTCAAAGGATGTATTGTTTCTATACTTCACTTGAACTGGTAAAGTGAGGGCACCACTAGACGGTGATAATTGATTTGAAGAAACCACTAAAAAAGCTATGAAAAGATACATTCAAAATGGACAATCAAAATGGAATTCTAAAAAACATTCTACTGACCCATAGGAAGGTGGGGAACCATAAAACAAGATAAATGGATCACAGCGAGAAGCAGCAGAAATCAACTGAAAAGTGCAGATTTAAATTACAGCATATCAAAACTTGCATTAAGTATAATGGTCTAAACCCAGTAATTAAAAGACTGAATTTGCAGAGGGGATTAAAAAACATGACCCAATATATGCTATCTATAGGCAATTCACTGCAAATATTAAAAAATAATAAAACACGTAAGCTGAAAGTACAAAGATAAAGATCTATCATGTAAACATTCATAAATAATAATGAAAGGCTATATTAATACAAGATAAAGTAGATTTCAAAGAACAGAAAATGATCGGACTGGGAGGGACATTCTATAAGAGTCAATCAACCAAGAAGACATAGCAATTCAAAATGTGTTTGCACTAAAAAATAGAGATGCAAAATATGTGAAGCAAAACTGGTATCACTGAAAGGAGAAATAGATCCACAAATAGACCTTATGACTTCAATAAACCCTTCACATCTGATAAAGCAACTTAAAACACAGTCAGCAAGAATATAGAACTCAACCTGATGAACTAATAAGATCTAAGCAACATTCATAGACACTAAATCCAAAAACATACAAGTACATATACATTTAAAATGCACAAAAATATATAAACCCATTTCCCTCAAAATTATACACAAAAAACTCCTTAATATATTAGCAATTTCTTTAACAATATATAAAGTGAATTATCCAGCATGGGCAAGGGTGGATTATTGGAGGGATGCAAGGCTACTTCAACATGAAAATCAACCAATGTAATTAGGCACTTTGAAAGGTTAAAGAAGAAAAGTCACATGATCATATCAATCAATGCATGCCAAAATAATTTGACAATATTCAACAATCATGATTTAAAAAAATCTTGGTAAGTTATGAATAGAGAAAAACATCCTCACCTTGATAAAACTTATCCTCAAAAAACTACAGCTATCAGTATACTCAATGAGGAAAGATTTAATGCTTTCCTCCTAGGACTGAGAACAACGCAAGGTGGCCCATTCTCCCTAATTTTATTTAATATAACGCTGGAAGTTCTAGCAAGTGCAATGAGACAAGAAGAGAAATACACACAGAAAAAGAAGAAATGCAACCCGTGCTTTTTGCAGAAGACAGAGTTGTTTCCATAGAAATTTCCATGGACTCTACAAAGAAAAAGTTCTATAAGCAATAAATGGCTTCGCAAAATTTGGAGGATAGAAAATCAGTATACAAAATCATTTGTATTTCAATGAAAACATGAACACAGAAATTTTAAGTATACTATCAGTCACTATTCTTCAAAAATGAGAAACTTTATTGTAATTCTAAGAAACAAAAAATTTGTAGAAATCTTGTACCGATCTTGGATTCTGAGAACTTACAACGTAGATGAAAGTAATAAAAAAAAAGGTGGATCTAAATAAATGGAGAGATGCAATATATTCGTGAGTTGGAAAACTCAGTATTTTAAGAAGTCAATTCTCTTTAAATTGATGTATGTATTTAATATAATTCCCATCAAAAGCCCAACAAGGCTTTTTGTAGATACAGAAAAAATTATGCCAAAATGTGTAGGGAAAAGCTAAGGAGCATGCGTACCTAAAACACTTTTAAGTAAGAGAATAAAGTGGGAGAAATAAGGACACAAGATTGTGAAAATCAAAATCAGAGGGTTCAAAGCTGAGTGGTTTTGGTAGAAGGATAGACGCAGATCAAGAAAACACGGTAGGCGTGGTTGGCGGCATTTTGCATGTCCATCACGCAGCCCCGCACAGCCTCCCTGCATTACTCACGGTGACCAGAGAGGGCGCTAAAGGAACTGGCCCTGAAGTGACAAGCGGATTCCCCCGCCAGCCGGAAGTCCGCGGTGGGCGTGTCGGGGGCGTGGTCTGCGCTTGGAGGCGGGGCCGCAGCGGCCAGCCCCTCCCCCAGGGCCCTCAGAGCCGGCGGCGGCGGCGACCGTTGGGCGTCAGCGGACTTGGCAGCGGGGACGTTGGCGGCAGCGGCCCCTCAGAGCCTGGATCCTGGTGAGGCGCCGCCCCCGGTCGTGTGTGGCAGGTGACAGTCGCGGGCGCTGAGCAGGGACCAGACTCCGCTCGCGCTCCTCGTCCTGAACGCGCTGACTGACTGGAAGGTGTCGCCGCCCCGCGTGCCCCCCGAGGAGGATGTGCAGGTTTGTCCTCAGGGACCGAGGGCTCCAGGCCCGGCCGAGGGGGCACAGGGCGGGGCTCAGGGCGTCCGAGTGGCTCCTGAGCCCGGAGTCAGTGGGTTTGGCTCATTTAACTTGAGGCTTTGGGAAGCACGAGGGTAAAATAGGGCGAATTGTGCAGGATTTCAACTCTAAACAGCCTCGTCATTTCGGTCTTTTGTGCAATATTGAAATTTGAAAAACTGCAGAACGTAGTTTGTTAAAGACTTTATCAACGATTGATGTTGTGATAGCGATCGCGGAAAATCACTGTTTTGCAGTTGCATTTCCTGTCGGTGTCATTTGGGGCAGTTTTGAGAGAAAACTACAAACCGTAGATGTGGTGGTTCAGAGGGTGGAACTGAAGGGCGGATGTCACTGCTGGAGCAGGCGGATCAACGGTCAGAGAGCGGAGCGAGGGTCCCAGGGCCTGAGAGAGGGGGCTGGGCGTTCATGTTCAATGGGAACAGGGTTTGTATGAGATGGGGAGTGTTCTGGAAATGGATAGTGGCCGTGGCTGCACAGCATTGCGGATGGAATTAATGCCACTGCGTGCACACTTAAAGACCGTCGGAACGGTAAATTTTGAGTTATATATATTTTACCATAATGAAAACAGATGATTAGGAGTGGGGAGCCCTGACCTTTGTGCCAGCTTGTCCTCAAAATGCGCGTTCAGCTTTCCTGCGATCATTTGGGGCAGAGGGGATCTCCTTTCTAGATCCATTATGCCCCCCAGGAAGTTTATCGTGGAGATTTAAACAGTGTAATTTCTTTTAAGTCTTGAAAAGTTTGCAGAGAAATTGGCTTTGGGGGAGAAAGGATTCCATCCTAACTCTTTATGGGTTTTCACCCCCAGATACTCACAGCGAATGTCCCCAGAGAGTGGGCTTCAGTTATCAGCGTCCACGCCTCCCAGAGGTGTTTTCACTGTGTTGTTGGAATTGTTATGTGCGGTGTTTTCTGTGTAAAGAGCTGAGAATTCTGAAGGCACAGGGTGGGGGGAAAGACTTTGTTTTGTCATAACTACATTCTCCCCAGTGAGTTACATTCTTACATGGTCTTGTGCCCTGTTGTAGATACAGATGTGCTGATAAGGAAACAGTTTGTAATTTTCCCAAAAACAATCAGGCAGAAAAAGCGGTTTTCCCACCTGTGCAGTAAGGTTTTAAGACAGACAAATTCCTGATACTATGGGATGTCAGAAAATTATGAAAATATAAAGAAACTTTTTCTTTTAAGCAGTTTGATTTTCATCATTTGAATTATTTTATTGAGGTCACATTGGTTTGTAAGGTTGTGTAATCTCAGGTGTATGTCATTATATTTCTGCATCTGTGTAGACTGCATCATGTTCATCACCAAAGTCTAGTTGCCATCTGTCATCACACATACGCCCCTTTATCCCTTTCACCCTCCCCTACTCCCTTCCCCTCTGTTAACCTGGGATCTGGTCTCTGTATCGATGTGTTTGTGTATCTTCTTCATATGGATGGAATCATAAGATATTTGTCTTTCTCTGGCTGACATGTCAATTAGCGTTATACCCTCGAGGTCCATTCATGTTGTCATAACTGGCATAGCTTCATCTTTTCTGTGGCTGAGTAGTATTACGTTGTATATATACACACACCACATCTTTATTCATCTATTGAAGGGCACTGAGCATGCCTCCGAGTCTTGGCTGTCGTGAATAATGCTGCAATGAACATAGGGGTGCATATATCTTTTGCATTAGTGTTTTCATGTTCTTTGGATAAATAACCACAACTTGAATAGCTGGGTCATAGGTTAGTTCAAGTCTTAGTTTTTTGAGGAATCTCCATCCCGTTTTCCAAAATGGCTGTGGCAGTTACCATCACACCAGCCGCATATGAGGGTTCTCCTTTCTCCACATCCTATCCCACACTTGTATTTCTTGTATTTTTGATTAGCCATTCTGATGGGTGTGAGGCGATACCTCAGTGTAGTTTTGAGTGGCATTTCCCTAATTAGTGATGTTGAACATCATTTCATGTGCCTGTTGGCCATCCGTATATCGTCTGGGAAAATGTCTGTTCAAATCCTCTGCCCATTATTTAATTGGGTGTTGGGTTTTGCCGTTGATGTCGTTGAGTTGTATGAATTCTTTATATATTTGGGATATTAACCCCTTATCAAATATATGATTTGCAAGTATCTTCTCCCAATTATTAGGTTGTCTTTACATTTTGTTGGTGGTTTCCTTTGCTGTGAAAAGCTTGTTAGTCTGATGTAGGCCTGTGTGTTTATTTTTTCTGTTGTTTCTGTTGCTTATGGGGACAAGGTATTCAAAAAGATACTAAGGCTGATGTCTAAGAGTGTACTGCCTATGTTTCCTTCTAGGAGTTTCATGGTTTGAGATCTTACATTCAAGTCTTTAATCCATTTTGAGTTAATTTTTGTGTACGGTGTAAGATAATGGTCTATTTTTATTCTTTTGCATGTGACTGTCCAGTTTTCCTAACACCATTTATTTAAGACTTTCCTTTCTCCCTTGTATGTTTTTGGCTCCTTTGTTGAAAATTAGCGGCCCGTCGACGTGTGGTTTATTTCTGGGTTCTCAATTCTGTTCTATTGATCTGTATGTCTGTTTTTCTGCAAGTAACATGCTGTTTTGATTACTGTAGCTTTGTAGTATATTTTGAATTCAGGAAGTGTGATACCTCCAGCTTTGTTGTTTTTTTCTCAGGATTGCTTTGGCTCTTTGGGGTCTTGTGTTGTTGCATGTAAATTTTAGTATTCTTTGTTCTATTTTTGTGAAAAATGTCATTGGGATTCTGTTTGGGATTGCATTGATTCTGCAGATGGCCTTAGGTAATATAGACATTAACTATGTTTATTCTTTCCATCCATGAGCACAGAAAATCTTTCCATTTCTTTTTGTCTTCTTCAATTTCTTTCAATACCCTCTTACAGTTTTCAGTGTATAGATCTTTCACCTCCTTGGTTAAATTTATTCCTGGATATTTTATTCTCTGTTTGGTGATTATAAATGAGTTTTTATTTTTGATTTCTCTTTCTGCTAGTTTCTTGTTAGTTATAGAAATGCAACTGATTTTCTTATGTTGATTGTGTACCCTGAAACTTTATTGTATTTGTTAATTATTGCTAAGTTTTTAGGTGGATTCTTTAGGGTTTTCTACATATAGAATCATGCCATCCACAAATAGTGACAGATTTACTTCTTCCTTTCCAATTAGTTCCCTTTTTTTTATTTCTTTTTATTGCCTAAATACTCTGGGTAGGACTTCTAATACTGCGTTGAATATAGTGGTGAGAATGGGCATCCTTGTCTGGTTCTTGTTCTTAGAGGTATAGCTCTCAGTTTTTCTCCACTGAGTATGATATTTCTTGTGGGTTTGTCATATATGTCCTTTGTTATGTATGGATGCTGTATCTTGTCAAATGCTTTCTCTGCATCTATTGAGATGATCATGTGATTTTTATTCTTCATATTGTTAATGTGGTGTATCACATTGATTGATTTGTGGATGTTAAACCATCTGTGTATCCCTGGGATAAATCCTACTTGATCATGGTGGATGATCTTTTTAATGTATTGTTGTATGTGATTTGCTAGTATTTTGTTGAGGATTTTTGGATCAATGTTCATCAGTGATAGTGGCCTGTAATTTTCTTGTTTTGTGTTGTCCTTGTCTGGTCTTGGTAGCAGGGTAATGTTGGCCTCATAGAATGAGTTAGGAAGTTTCCCCTCCTCTTCAATTTTTTGGAATAGTTTGAGAAGACTTTGTCTTAAATCTTCTTTAATGTTTGGTATAATTCTCCAGAGAAACCGTCTGGTCTTGACTTTTGATTTTTGGGAGGTTTCTGATTACTGTTTCTATCCCTTTACTTATGATTGGTCTATTCAGATTCACTATGTCTTCTTGATTCAGTTTTGGGAAGTTGTATGAGACTAAGAAATTACCTGTTCTTCCAGGTTATCCAATTCGTTGGCATGTAGTTTTTCATAGTATTCTCTTATAATCCTTTGTATTTCTGTGGTATCGCTATATTTTTTCCCCATTCATTTTAAGTTTTATTTATTAGTGCCTTCTCTCTTCTTTTCTTAGTGAATCTAGCTAAGGATTTATCAATTTTATCTTCTCAAAGAACCAGCTCTTAGTTTCATTGATCTTTTCTATTTTTTTTTTTTTTAGTCTCTATTTCATTTATTTCTGCTCTAATTTTTACTATTTTCCCCCTTATGCTCACTTTGGGCTTTGTTTGTTCTTCTTTTTCTAGTTCTGTTAGGTGTAGTTTAAGATTACTTATTTGAGAATTTTTGTTTGTTTGTTGAGGTGGACCTGTACTGCTATAAATTTCCCTCTTAGCACTGCTTCTGCTGCATCCTGTAAGAGTTGGTATGTTGTGTTTTCATTTTCATTTGTCTCCAGGTATTTTTTGATTTCTCCTTTGATTTCTTCATTGATCCAATGGTTGTTCAGTAGTTTTTAAATGTTTTTAAATCTCCCCATAGTTGTGCCTTTCCCAGCTTTTCTCTGGTATGTTGTGTTTTCATTTTCATTTGTCTCCAGGTGTTTTTTGATTTCTCCTTTGATTTCTTCATTGACCCAATGGTTGTTCAGTAGTTTTTAAATGTTTTTAAATCTCCCCATAGTTGTGCCTTTCCCAACTTTTCTCTTGTTAGTTGATTTCTAGTTTCATAGCATTGTGGTCAGAAAAAGTGCTTGATATGATTTCAGTCTTCTTAAATTTATTGAGTCTTGATTTCTTTCCAAATATATTGTCTATCTTTGAGAATGTTCCATGTGCACTTACTTGAACACGCTGCTGTTTTGGATGGAATGTTCTCTATATATCTATTAAGTCCATCTGGTCTAGTGTTTCTTTTTCTTTTTCTTTTTTTTGAGGATGATTAGCCCTGAGCTAACATCATTCTCTTCTACCACTGGCAGCTCCCTGCTGAGCCTGGTGGGGTCGGGAGGGCTGATGATTAAACAAGAGGGATTAGTAAACACAGAGATCTAGAGCTGGTGTTAATTGGAGGGATAAGGATCTGGTCATGGAAAATAAATGGGGAGTCCCCATCAAGGGAGATAAAACAATCCTCTTCTATCTAGGGCCAGAGTGTGGTTCCAGTGGGAAGAGGAGAGAGAGGGAGAGGAGGAGAGAGCAAGAGAAAGAGAGATGGAATGAGAAAGAGAGTGAGAGACAAAGGGAGAGAGAGAGAGAGCAGGAGGTGCTCTGAGTGCAGACCAGAAAATGAACTCCTGAGGAAGGAGACTGAACTCCCCCATACAGAACAGTCAGGACACAGTGCACTCGGAAAACCGTAAAGGGGCTTCAACCCTTTTGCGTAAATTTTGTTGAAATATACATGTAGCAGCCAAGTGGACACAGGCTCTGGCAGCATTGTAGACCTCTAGAATCCTGTGTCTGCAAGGTCTAGTTCTCCAAAAACTAGGACATAATAGGAAGTTTTATTTCTAGTCACTTTCCTTGCAATGAAATACCTGCCAACATGGTAATGCCAAACAGGCCGAGCCAGATATGTGTCATATGTGGTTGTAATAAAAATGAGAGAACAGATGAGAAATCCTCTGAGTGATTAGTTCACATGCATGAACTGACTGCAGGTTACTACATTGGAGAGGGATCAGTAAAGGGGCCTGTACACCTACCACAGTGAAAACAGACACCATTGTTGAAGGGACAGTTTCTGGTGGTCTAAGTATGTTAAATAGGTATATTCAGCCCTTTCTGATTTCCCTAGATCTGAGATCACCAGATGTCACCATTGAATGAAGACCCACGATTCTTCAGTTACCTGGAACATATGCGGACTTGGTCTTCCTGCTCCTCAAGGTCAGTATGTTTTCCTACAAATAAATTCAGACACATCTAGTCACATTAAAGCAGATCCCCCTTTGTACATTAATAATCCAGTGTCCAACCCTAGCATAGGGACACACCTATCCTCAGTGTGAGAATAGGTTTAGTGAGAAGAATATTTCAGGAGGCCTCAGATACTGTATTGTGATGACTGGCTTGATTTCCTGTCCTGAGCTATTGGGCAGAATTTACCTTATCTAGGAGATAATCATCACCATATCCTCTGTCTGGAGTCTGTGCAAACACTTAAAAATATAACATTCTCTTACAGATTCTGGGAAACCATCCCACCTGCATTCTAAAAGAACTAAAACAATATCCAGCCTTCTCTTATCAGATACCCTGGTTGTCGATGGTTTACAGGAATTTATACACTGAGGCTGGACAGATGGAATGAACCTGTGAGCCCTCAAATGAAAATGAATCTTTGCTGCTACACAGAAACATTGGCCATTCATGCTCTACCTCTAGAGCGAAACAGACTTCTAGTTCCTCGAAGGACGATAGGGGTTGGGCAGGCTGGGAAGATCTGAAGAAGTCAAATAGTATTCATCCAGTGGGTCCTGTGGTATGTTATGCTCTACGTTCTCTGGCTGCTCCCCGCAGAGCCTGGTGGCGTAGAGAGGACTAATGATTAATCCAAGAGGGATCAGATATCATAGAGTCTTATTTGGTTTTGATGAAAGGCATAGGGAGTGCTCAAGAAAGCACAGAGGCTGACCTATTAAAGAGGGGAAAACTCCTCTATTTTTTGTGGGACAGAGTGCATTTGTCACAAGGGCAGGATATAGAAAGGACAGTAGGTGCTCAGTACAGTGTCCAAACGACAGGCTGATGAGGAACGAGGCTGAATTATCTCTGTACCATTCAGTTGTGACTCACAATATACAGAGTCATGTAACAGTGGCTTTCCCTCTTTCATTTAAGTTGCATTGAATTTTACGTGTAGTGGCCAAGTGCATACAGCTTTTGGGGCACTCTAGTATCCCAGAAATCTCATGCTATCAAGGCCCGTTTCTCTCAATATTGTGGCGTGATATAATAATATTTTTGTCTCCTTAAATTTCTTGCTATGAAATTCATGCAAATGCTAGCACATCTCACTCTGTAAACCACACAGAAGAGAACACGTGAGTGGAGAAAATCCCTGTGACTTCTTAGTTCACCCAGGTCAACTGGCTATGGGTTACAAAACTTGGGTAGTTAATAATGAGTGGGAACAATACAAGTACCACAATGAAACAGAAAACATTATGAAAAAGGGTAATTGATGGTTGGCAGAATGGATGATATATATTCAGCACTTTCTGCTTTTCCCTGAATCTGAGGTCTGCAGATGTCACCATTGAATTAACAGCCCACAGTTACTCAGTTGACTCTTGTCCTTTCCCCTCCTCCTGATCATTTTGGTTTTCTGCAAATAAATTAAGAGAAGGATGGTTACATTCAGCAGGCCCTCTTTCACAAATGCCTGATCCTGTGTCCAATTCTAGCACAGGGACATAAATATATGCAATGTAATAACAGGCTGTTGTGAACGAAATATTCCAGGAAGTATTAGGTAAGGCCTTGTAAGAAGTCACCAGTTGGCTCTCTTGAGCCATTGGACAAATCTGCCTGGTATGAGAGGTCATCATCAGAGTATCCTATGTCCTGAGTCTGTGCAAATGCTTAAACATATCCTTTTCTTCAGAAATCCTAGGGAACTACCTACCAGCTTCCTAGAGGTTTGCCTCAATATTCATGCTTTTTCTATCTGAAAAGCTGTTAATGGTTTAGCAGAACTATACATTGAGATTAGACTGATGAGTGGAATCTACACACCGTCAAATCAAAAGAATCTTCAATGCTGTAGAGAAACAGTGGCCATTCATCGGGTAGGGAAGTTCCAGTGCCCTGCCTTGTTCAGAGAAACATACAAAGTAAGCCAGTGGCGCTTATGCTCTGCTACTCATATGACTCCTGAGATGAGATAAGACAAGACAAATCAAAGGAGATAGACTCTGGGTTGAGAGAAGTGAACCAGGCTACTGTCATCTCCAAAGATATAGCTAATGCTGCCAACATCCTTGGTCAGGCATAAAAACTCAAGGGACATTGCTCAAGGATAAAAATTAGAGCATTGCATGCAAGATAAGAGATTTACTCAAAATTAGGAGGCCTGAAAGTCACCTTCTATAACCAAGCTATAGAGGTACAGGTGTCTGGCAGGACCCCCTTGGGTCCAGTGAGAGGCCAGTGGGACAAACATGATAGAGTTGTGGTCTTAGACTAAGAATTGAGCAAATTTCACTGATTCATGAACTGTCTTATTTCAAAGTCAATCCTATAGCCTTTCCAACCAGTATGTAAGTATAGGGTCTGCCTACGGAGATTAAATCTCACCATCTAGACAGGCTGTGGGGAACAAAGAATATGGAGGCTACCTAGGAGATGAGTTGGAGTTTCATCCCCATTAGGATGATAGTGTTCACTGCCTACATCCAGAGCAGAGCCAACTTCCTGTTCATCAGATGTCAGTTTACCATCATTGTAAGGCTGGTCCCAGTCAGACCCTTCTTAGCAAATTGAAGAGGGCAAAGCACATTCATCCTGTGAGTCCTGCAGGACTTCTTTCTTTTCAAATTTCTGCGGCTCCTTGCTATGCCAGGTGGAAGAGGGTAACAGAAGATTAAACTAAGAGGATCAGACACCATGGTGTCCTAGCTGGTTATGATGGCAGGTGTAGAAAGCGGCCACAGAAGCAAAGAGGCAGTCAGCTTGAGAGGAAAACACTATTCTCCTACATGAGGAGCAACGTGTGGCTGCCGAGGTTTAACAAAGAGTGAAAGAGGGAGGGGGAAAGAGAGGGCGAGAGCAGCAGATGCTCAGGGCATTGCCACATCACCAGCCAAGGATGGAGGTGGCTGAACGCTCCCTGTGGGCCACAGCCATGACTCCCAGCCCACACAGAGGACTAAAACAGTGGCTTCAACCATTTTGAGTACATTGTACAGAATTTTATAGGCGGTGTTGAAGTGAATATAGCCCTTGCTGTGTTATAGACTCTCAGATACTCTGCTTTCAAGGACGGTTTTCTCAATGCTTTGATATAAACTGAATTTGTTTCAGTTTCTTCTCATATATCCAAATGTTGGCAACATGCTGGCACCAAACAGGCACACAGTAGATATGCAGCCCACCCTGGTTTCAACCACAGAGGAGAGAACAGCTGATTGCAGGAACCCCTGAGTTTGGTTAGTTCATCTTGGGAAACTGACTCCAGGTTACCAACCTGAGAGGGATTAAGAAATGGAAACTCACACAGCTATCACAATGCCCTCATTACTGTTCCTTCTGAGACCCTCTCCATATTCTGCCCACCCATGACTGGCTCCTGATGATTCAGTGTTACCTGGGGGTGAGTGTTTCTTATGCTTATTCATCTTCCTTGTCTTCATGATTTTCTGCAAAGAAATTCAGAAACATCCCGTTAGCTATTTCCCACTTCACACTCTGCACACACCGTGGCTTCAATGGCCATAGAGACATAAATATCTGTGTATGAGTTAGTATTGTACTGAAGTTCTAAAGCACTGACTTTAAGAACTGCCCTAGCAGGGATTTCTGATCCATCAGGCAGTGTGTCTCTCATCTGGCAGATAAACATCCTGGTACGCTCTGCCTGAAACTGGCAAAAATTTAAATTGTCTCTTGTTCTGCATATCACTGGATACTTGTCCAGCACCCATCTCAACTTCTACAGTTGTATCCTGCACACTGCCACAAATCCTGCCATAGGCACACGCTCCACGTCCCTTTGTTACTGGGCACAAACATAGGCTCTTTAGCTGCCATACAAGAGGGGCCAAATAAAAACTGGAACAACAGGCTTATGGCAAGAAAAGGGTTTTTATTTCGGGTGATTGGCATCAACCTGGAAGACGAGAGTGAGCCCTCAAATTCATCTCGTCTTCCCAAAAGATGGGAGGCAAGGAGTTTTAAAGGTTGCAAGGAATGCAGCTGCTTGTAGAGAGGGGGAGCCTGTCACCTTGCTGGTTGGCGCTTTCCCACCAGCCTGCCTTTGGCCTTGCGAGGTTGTTTGCAGGAAGGGGGATGAGGAGATAAGAGAATCTGCAGGTGGCTGCCCTTGGTTGTCTGCTTCCGTGGTGGATGGTGGATTTTGGTGCCAGGAAGCCAGGCAGTAAGCAGGGAAAGGGGATGAGTGCTTTGATTTTACGCCCATATATGCTGGGTTTAATGGAGGGGAACCAATATCAGGGCTGGTATCACCTTCGCTCTCACATCGAAGCTCCTCCTTGCTCTAAGGAGAGAAAAAACAACCCTGTCCCAATGCCTCCATGGGGATTTCATAGGCCCTCCAGGTTGGCTTCTGAATGTTATTGAGGGGGATTCTCTCTAGGGAAAGTTTCTAGTCTAACCAACTTTTCCACCTCTGAGTTCCACTAAATCAAATACCTTATCCAACCCCACACAGGGAGGGGCTTTCTTTTTTCTGAAGTGTGGTTGTAAATATTCCCACATCACAGCTACCATCAACAGATTATCGGGTCCATTTGTAGATGAGAAAAATATCAAGGAATAAAAATCAATCACTCGCCCACTTTAGTCAAGACAGCCATCAGGCTGGAGCCTAGGAACTTTAGCCCAGGGCTCTTTGCCGTCTAACAAACTGCCTCCTGTCACCTCCTCCATTCTGTGCTCTAACACTGGGTGAATGCTGCCTCCTGCCCCAAAGGCCATGGTCCCTCAGGGAGGAAGCAGACATTTGGAACATTATGACCTCCACCCTGTGCATTTCTCCTCTCTGTTCCCACCCAGCCAGTCCTGGTCCTGTCGTGGCCCCAAGTGTGATGGGGAAACCAGGACAGCTGGTAAAAACATTATGAGTGGAGGTGTGAAGTCTCTTGTGAGCCAGGGATCTTGGAGAGGCTCAGGGCAATCAGGGCCTGTGGCCACCTTACCTGGGCTAAGCTTGCAGATGATGCTCTCTGCCTGCGTGTGTCCCTCAGCTAGTTGCTCTCTGAAGCTTAGACTCTGGTATTTGTCAAGGTCATTGTCGGTGAGGAGGTCCTTGATATGCTGATTGAGTAGGACCCAGATGTCTCTCCCTTCCTGTAATCTCTGCCATAACCAGATCAGCTGTTGTTCCTGATCTTTAATTAGAATATTGTATTCCCTAAGGTGGGATAGTAGAGAAAATTTAAGAGGGAGAAGTGATGAGTGATAGATTCTAAAGATTTTCAAAAATATTTCTGTGAGAATTTCCCCAAAGAGCGCTTGAACCAGAATTCTGGCACAAGTGTGGTGACCTGCCTGTGGCAGAGAGAGAGGAAAAGGTAAAACAAGGGCTCCCTCTGTATCAGAGAGTGTTCCTGCAAGATCCTTTGCCTTCCCATTCATTGTTTTCTTCTGTAAACCAAACCAGTGTCCTCCTAAACCTGCTTCAAATAGATAGCCCTCAGTCCCTCACTTCAGCCATGTCCATTTCCACGTAAAAATACAAAAAGCAGAGTGCCATACGAAGTGAACGAGTAATTAATTTAAAAGTATTTTCTGTCCTGACTCTCTCAATGTTCTTCTTGCTGCATCACTGTTCTGTCAGCTTCTCTTCCCTTTGAGTGAACATTTGCTTTCAGTTCTCTCAGTTATACACTTAGGGGTGGAACTGAGGTCATATGTATCTCTGTGTTTCACTTTTTCAGGAACTGCCAAACTATTTTCCAAAGCAAAGCAATGGCACCATTTCATACACCCACTAGCAATGTTCAAGAATTCCCATTGCTCCACAACCTCCCCAACACATGTTATTGTCTTTTATTTTTTTAAGTCATACTTGCTGCTGTGAAGGGATATCTCATTATGCTGAGGATTACATTTTCCTTATGACTAATGATATTGAGCATCTTTTCAGGTGTTCATTGTTTCATTTGTGCATATTGTTTAGAGAAATGTCTATAAACCATTTTTAAATTGGGTTCTCTTTTTCTTGCCTGGTTGTGAGAATTCTTTATGTATTCTCGATACCAGACCTTCATCAGATATGCAGTTTGCAAATATTTCTCCCATTCTCTGGGTGGTCTTTTCACTTCCTTGATAGTGTTCTTTGCAACACAAAAGTTTTTAATTTTGATGAATCCAGTTTTCCTATTTATTCTTGGGTTGCTTGTGCATATTTAAGAAAGCAGTCTAACCCAAAGTCTGGAATATTTACACCTATGTATTCCTGAAAAAGTTGCTTTTTGAATGAGAGCTTTCCTGGGTTTGGGGGAGGGGGGCATTTTTTAATTCTCTCTCCTGTCCATTGATTGATATTTCTCTCAATTGATATTCATTGCCTGTTGCCCCCTCCTATGGAGCGTCTAATGGCCTGTAACAGAGATCTGGGAAATGGTATCTATTAACATTCTGGCTTTGATTCAGGTGAGAGTCCAGGTCATGTGGTTGAGCTTGTCTTAACCCCACCAGTTTCACAAATTGCTCAGGGACTTTTGACCTATCGTTTTATTGTGTTGATCATCTTATCAGACTGCATGTTATATATGTATATTCTAGAGAAAAATCCTTTGTTGGAGGCAAAAATAGTATGATCCCCTATACTGTTATTTCTCTTTAGGTTTCCCTAAAGGTATATTTTTTGAAGATAAAGATGCAGAAAGATAAAGATAGATTTATTTTCAGGTCTTAAGAAATCATTCATTGCCTACTTTAAGCTTGCAAAAATATTTTCCTGGGGAGTTTTATAGTTCTAACTTTTACATATATGTCTATGATCCATTTTTAGTTAAATTTTGGATAATGTGCAAGAAGGCTGATATTTTCTAATATGGATATCTACTTTTCCATCACATTTGCTGAAAAGAATGAATTTTGTCCACTGAATTGCCTTGGAAACTCTGTTGAAAATCAATTGACCGTATGTGTAAGGGTCTATTTCTGGCCTCCCTCTTCTCTTCCATTGATTTATATTTTTCCCTTTTGAACAATACCCCATGATGTTGATTTCTGTAACTGTATAGTAATTCTGTAAATAGGTAGTCTCACTCATTCACCTTTATTCCTTTCTTATAAAAGTTTTTACTATACTTGATCACTTACATTTCCATGTAAATTGAAGAATCAGTTTGTGACCTTCCACCAAAATGCCTGCTGGGGTTTTGACTGGGGTTACATTGGATTTGTAGATAAATTTGAGGAGAACTGACATTTAACCATATTGATTCTACCAATCCATGACGAGGTTTATCTCACCACTAATTTAATTTTTTAAAAATTTCTCAAAGCGATGTTTTGTTGTTTTTAGTGTATTGGTCTTACACATACACATATTTTGTTAAATTTATCCCTAAGCATATAAAGATTTTAGATGCTATTTTAAATGAAATTGTATTTTGTGTTTCATTTTTCAAATACTCATTGCTAATATACAGAAATAGCACAGGTTATTTTTATTGATCTCATATTCTGCAACATTGCCAAACTCATTTATTAGTTTTAGTGGATATTTTTGTAGATTCCTTGGTATTGTTTACATACACAATCATGTCAGCTGTGAATAAAGATAGTTTCTATTCTTTCCAAACTGTATGCTTTTATTTATTTTTCTTGCTTTATTGCACTGGTTAAGATCTCCAGTATAATGCTGAATTGAAGAAGTGACAGCCAGCTTTGCTTTTTCTCTGTCTTAACAGAAAAACATTCAGTCTTTAACCATTGAGAATAACCTTACCAGTGTTTTTTTCAAGTATACCTTTCATTAGGTCAAAAGTGCTGACTTCTATTTTTATCACATTGGAGTGTTTTGTTTTTGGTCATGAAAAAGGTTTTTAGTTTTTTCAAATGCTTTTTCTGAATATATCAAGATAATCATATAGTTTTTCTCTTTTGTCCTGATAATATGGTTGATTTTTTAAATATAAAATATTTATTGAATTTCAGGCTATGAAAGTTATTTTTAATGTTTTAAACTATTTTGACAGCAAGATTGAGATATAATTTACATGGAATAAAGTGCATGTAATTAGATGTACAACTTAATAAGTTTGTTCATATATATACATCCATAATCAAGATAGTGAATATATCGATGAACTCCCAAATTTCCCTGTGTTCCTAATAATTCCTTCTTCACAATCCCATCCCAGAAAACCACTCATTGGTTTTCTGTCACAAAAGATTAATTTGCATTTTCTAAGGTTTGATATAAATGGAATCATATACTATGTGCATTATTTTGTTTTGACATTTTTTACTCAGAATAATTATTTTGAGGTTGACTCATGTTGTTCTGTGTATCCAGAAGTCGTATCACTAAACTGAGCACTATTTCATGAGATAAATACTCCTCAATTTGTTTTATTCGTTCGCTTGTTGATGGATTTGTGTGGTCTTCTGGCATTAAAAATAAAGCTTCTATCAACATTTTTGTGTGGATACATCCTTTCTTTTCACTTGGGTGGAATGGTGGTAACATATGGTAGGTATAGGTTTGATATTTTTAAAACTTTCAAACTGTTTTCTTAAGTAGTTGTGCAATCTCACACTCACATCAGCAGTGTATGAGAGCTCTAGTTCCTACACATCTTTCCCAATACTTGGAATGGAGGTTCTTTTAATTGTAGCCATTTTTATTGGTATGCAGTGGTTTAAATTTGCATTTTCCTAATGATTAATTATTTAGAGCATCTTCTCATGTACTTATGTGCCTTCCATATATATTCCTTTGCTGAAGTATCTTTACAAATAATTTATACATTTTTTGTGTGAGTGTGAAGAAGATTGGCTCTGAGCTAAAATCTGCTGCCAAAAATCCTCTTTTTGCTGGAGGAAGATTGTTGCTGAACTAACATCAGTGCCAGTCTTCCTCTATTTTATGTGGGATGCCACCCCAGTGTGGCTTGATGAGTGGTGCTAGGCCTGTGCCTGGGATCCGAACCTGGGAACCCTGGGCCACTGAAGCGGAGTGCATGAACCTAACCACTATGCCACCAGGCTGGCCCCCATTTATCCATTTTTAAAATGTGTTGTTGGTCTTCTGATTATTGAGTTTTGAGAATTCTTTTATTTTTCTAGCTAGAAGTCCTTTATCAGATATGTAATTTACAAATATTTTCTCCCTCAGTGTGACTTGCCGTTTTATTCTCCTACCAATGTCTTTTGAAGAGCAAAAGTTTTTAATTTTCATCAAGTCCAAATTATCAATTTTTTTATTAATTATGATTTTGGCATCATATCTAAGAAATCATTGTCTAACTCAAGGTTATAACAATGTTTCTACTATATTTTCTTCTAGAAGTTTTAAAGTTTTAAGATTTACATTGAGGCCTATAATCCATTCTAGGTTAATTTTTGTATATGGTGTGAGGTATGGATCCAATTTTATGTATTTATTTATTTTCATAGCATATGGATATCTCACATCCATATTCATTTGTTGAAAAGATTTTCCTTTACCTCTTGTGGAAAGATTATACTTTCTACAATGCTTTGCTTTTCACATTTGTCAAAAATCTGTTCTCCATATAGGTTTCAGTTAATTTTTGGACTCTATATTCTGTTTCATTGATCTATATATCTGTCATAGCCAATACCAATCTGTTTTGATTACCACAACTTTACAATAGATCTTCAATTCAGGTAGAGCTAGCCATCAAACTTTATTCTTCCTTTTACAGGTGTTTTGGCTATGCTTGGTCATTTGCATTTTCATATTAATTTTTGAATCAACTGGTCACTTTCTACCAAAGACACTTGCTGGTATTTTGAGAGGGATTGCATTGAATCTTTAGATGGGACTGGGAGAAATTGACATCTGAACAATATTGAGTCTCCTGACCCTTGAACAAAAAATTTCTCTCCATTTTCTAGGTCTTCATTAATTTCTCTGTGAAATATTTTGTAATTTTAAGTCAGATTTATCCCTAAATATTTCACGTTTGATGCTAAATTACATTGCTTTTTACATTTTAATTAAGCATTACAATCACATAAAACACAATTGATTTTTGTATACTGATCTTGTATCCTGCTACACACAAATGCTTTTCAGGTTCAAGCTAGATATGGCAATGATCATATGTTTGGGGACTTGTGTATTTGCTTGGTGAGAAGAATTTTATTCCATTCACTGGGAGCTTTATTACCAGCTCGTGGAAGAGGAATACCTCAGCCCATATCAAGTCCTGTGTCTGGCAGAGATTGTACAGGGGCTCTTGTGGACCAATGCTTGTGAAATGTTGTGTCTGTTCTTTAATAAGCTTTCCTTTTTTTTTTTTTTTTTTTGATGAAGATTAGCCCTGAGCTAACTACTGCCAGTCCTCCTCTTTTTTGCTGAGGAAGCCTGGCCTTGAGCTAACATCGTGCTCATCTTCCTCTACTTTATACGTGGGATGCCTACCACAGCATGACGTGCCAAGCAGTGCCATGTCTGCACCCAGGATCCGAACCGGTGAACCCCAGGCCGCCGAGAAGCGAAACGTGCGAACTCAACCACTGCGCCACCGGCCTGGTCCCTAAGCTTTCCTTAAGAGTAACCATTCAGTTGGTGAGGCTGCCAATTGATACTTGTTTTTAGCTGAAATAGTTGTAAGATGTACAACAGTTGTAAGATTAAGGGGCCAATGTTCTCCTTTAGTTTTAAAGTTAGTCTTCAATAATCTATTCCGGCATTATGTACTGCCAGGAGTTTTCGAACAGTGTGCAATGATAGGTCCATCAAACATCATGAGTTCGTGCCCAGTTCTGACTAATCTTACTTCAATGTGATCTCTTATAAAATGATACCAAGAGCATTAACATAATTAATAGTGGCAGGCTCAGGAGGTTTGGCTGTGTGACACTCAGTAGCTTTGGAGGCAGTGGCTCTTACTCCATACCTGAAGTAGGTGTCCACTCTGATCACTATTTAAGCATTGGGGCTCTGATTCTGCAGCAGAATCTGTAGTCCCTTGTTGTGTCAGCTTCATTCCCCACAAGGGAGTATGAATGGCCTTCAGTTTAAGTTATGTTATGGTTGGTGCATAGAATATTTAAGTCACCTCTTTAGTCACTGACTTTTACAACCAATCATGGAAAGCTTGCTCACCTGGATGACTCAGAAGGTCACATTCCCAGTGGGTCAGATGACATGTCTCAAAGAAACCAAGCATCCATTTGTCATTCTGTGTCTCTGTAAAATTCACCCTTAATGGGCTAAAACATGGCTCACAAATGGTTTTAAATGTGTTTTATTTATGTCTGTCTAATGGTTTCTAAAGTCCAGTTCCTCAAATGACTTGACTTTATAGTCCAGTTTTTGTTTTCCAATGCTCTACCTATTTAACAGGACACAGGAGTCAATATAAATAGATTTATTACAATTAGTTTATAACCAAACAATCAATCATTATGTACCTTACATATAATCTATACATTGGTCGATTATCTCTTTCCTTCTTTTACCTGTTTCCTGTTGGATCCCGAGATGATGTAACATTACTTACTTGCCACTTCCACTGAGATTTCTAATTGTAATTCTAATATCTGTTAAAAAACAGTTGTTTTGCCTTGTTCTTCATCAAAGACACCATAGGATATGTTTAAATCTGAATATTTGTGAGCATCGCTAATAGTTAATATCTATGGTAGTCAATTATTTGCTTAGGTCAGAGACTAAAATTTGAAAATAAGAAGTTCGTTCTTTATTAATTTTTCTCTTTTCTTGAATGCATCATTTCTATTTAAGGTGTGTGTGTGTGTGCTGTTGTACTGATCCCCGATCTCTCTTAGCAAAGTCATCGTTGGCCTAAGCCATTGTAGATAATCTGTGACAGAATGATTGCAGATCATGGGCTAAATAGTTAGTGTCGATTGAGTCTGAAATTTTGCTAAACATGGTTTTCCAGAATCGTGTAATGTTACTGTGAGCCAGCTCCTCTGCCACTTCAAAAGCCCCAAACCTTTTTCTCCACCACTTTGTGGACATTGTCACAAACCCAGTTCACCCTCTTCCTGTGTCACCTACCATAGGATATGTTTGTTTGCATGGCCCTAGAGGCAGAGCCATTTTCCAGCTTGTTTAAATGCATTAAGGGCCTCCTGTTTCTGTAAGATCAATGGAAGTAAGTGGTTGTCTGTTATTTGGCATTTGGGCCATCATTAGGGTCTGTTGGGGAATTTGTTTTCTCCAGAAGTCATTAGGTTCTGTTAAATGCAATCACTTTTCTCTTGCTACGCTATGCTTGATCCCACCCATGCATTATATTCCCTAAAACTTCATTTTCTGTGCAGGCCCTTGACCTTTTTCCTATGCATGGCCCACCCAGAGAGCACTCTTAAGTCTTTTCAAGTCCACCTCTCTGCTCCTTCTGTTGGTTTTGCTGTGATCAAAATATAATATGTGAGGGGCTGGCCCTGTGGCTGAGTGGGTAAGTTCACACGCTCCAATTTGGCCCAGGGTTTCGCTGGTTCAGATCCTGGGTGCGGACCTAGCACTGCTCATCAAGCCATGCTGAGGCAGCATCCCACGTAGCAGAGCCAGAAGGACCTACAACTACAGTATACAACTATGTACTGGGGTGCTTTGGGGAGAAGAAGAAGAAAAAAAGAAGATTGGCAACAGATGTTAGCTCAGGTGCCAATCTTTAGAAAAATAAAACATAAATAAATATGTCTGAAATGAAACACAAGAAAGGGTCCCATGCCAAGGATTTCTGACTTCAATTATGATGGCTGGGACACTTCCTGAAGGACATTCTTCAGATGCTTTTGACCTGAAACTTTGGGAAGTAGAAAGCCCAGCACGCTCAGCCAGCTGCCATTCATCATCTTCCTCCTTTCACCAGGATGAGCTTACTGTTGTCTGTTATTGATGTTTCATCTACAGACAACCCAGGCTAAGCTGAGAAGGGTCATCTTTCAGCTCACTTCAGTAAGGATTTGTATACCCTCCCTCAGCATCCCCCAGTACAATTAGGACAATGCTTTACCCACAGGGGCTCAGTAAGCACACTCATTGAACTCAACTAATTTGGAATCCAGGTTGTCTCAGTAAGCAGATTTGTTCTAGTTTAGAGAATTGGATGGGTTAACAGAGGAGCAAAAGAGGGGCGTTATTTATTCTCTTTCTAAGAGTACAATGTCATTGTGCTCATCAACCACGTGAGAATCAGAGAGCCAGGATGTTAGCCCCAGAGCCCCCTACAGTCTCGCCATAAATTTAAAAGTCACTTTACTCCCTTCCTATCTTAGGTATTTCATCTGAAAATTGAGGATAAAATAAGTTCTAAAATTCTAGAAATGTGGCCAATATTGAAATTACTTTTCATGTGGAGAGAGTCTCTTGATGTCTGGAAAGCATGTAACCTATCAGAGAGAAGACAGATCATCGCTGATCATTGATGGCGAGGATGAACCTGTAAGACTTATTAAACTTGCCTCTGTGTTTCTCCGGTTGACCAGGAAATAGTAGCTATGATACCAGCAATTTCCTCTGGAGACCTTGGTGGTGGCGCCTGCTTTGAGCCAACACAGAGCCCAGGTGTTGGCTATATCCTGAAAGGCTGAAATCTGGCTGAGGTCCAGGGTTGTTGGGCCAGGACAGGTCATCCATGTGTTGGGAAAAACCAGAAGGGGTCGACAACCATTGAGCTCATCCCTAGATGTCATGTGGCATTGGCCACTCCCTCCAATGACCCACCCCACTGCAATTCTCATGACTTCCTGGTTACTAGGCTGAGCGCTCTGTGAAAGGTGGACTATTTTATTCATCTCTGCACTCATGGCTCCTGGCACTGACCTGAGCACTGAGGAAGCTCTCAGCGATGTTCTTTTGCTGACCAGATGAAAGTTATTGCAAATCTCCAACCATATCACTATATTCCTATCCTAAATGTCCCATCAGGGATGCTCTGCCCTCTCTCAGGATGTAGCATCTCCCCTTCCTTAGAGGTGCCTGCCCTGCACTCTCCATGTCCTATGCCACTCACCTGTGCTGAGCTCTGATGAAGATGGGACTGTCCTCAGGGAATCCTCTCAATGGTTCATTCTGTCATTAGGAAGAGATGTCCTCGGCCTACCCTTCCATCTTCTGGGCTGCCACAACACCATGTTTTGTTGAAGCTGTTTGCATTCTTCCTCTCACTGCTTTGATTTCCTCAGGGAAGTCTTGTTGGTAATCTGAACTCCAAGTTCTTCACGCGGCATGAGGAAAATTAAGCACTCAAAAAATACTTGAGATATTGTTTGTAAAGCCTTTCTTAAATGTAAATGCAGAAGAATATTATTAGTATCACCACTTCAGATGCAAGGGTCCCCTTACCCTGGCCCTTCCTGACCTTAGGGCACAACTGTTTAAGGTGAGAAAGGACATCTCCAACCCTTCTCCAAATGCCGTTTATCCCTCTAAGCCCACAACTAGTTGGAGGGCAGCTCCAAGGTTAAGGCTGGGGGTCTGGGACAGAGCCTCATGGTCACATCCTCCTTCTGTGGAAATTGGTGCTTCTCAGCAGTAGAAACCAACCCTGATCCATTCTATGGACTTCTTTGGCATGTGCACAGGTTCACTGTGGAGTCAGTTACTCTCACAGACCTCTCTGCTTAGCTCAGGTTGCACCCTGAGGAGCTGGATGATGCTGTGTGTGTTCCTCAGTTTCCCTTGACCTTTCTGACTCACCTTGTCCTTATTCTCACCTCCTTTGGCAAACTCTGCTCCACGTTACCTGATCCTTCTTTGGGTTTTTCTCATACATTAAACCTGCTGAATTTCTTTCTTCCATCTGCTCCCTCAGTTCTGTGTTTTCAGTGTGTGGGCTCAGCTCACGCTCCTACAGGAGACACACAGAGAAGAGACCAAGGCCAGGTCTCGGCTGCATTCCCAGAGCACATTTAACACACATCTCAGTCCTGCATGCACTCAGAGAATCTGAATAACAGCCTTATCTTACTGATGAGGAAACTGAGGCCCAGAGAGATTAGGAGATTTTCCCAGGCTCCCTCACCACTTGATGGCAGCGGAGCCACAAGACAGCCTTGGCTGCAGCTTCTGTGTCCAAAGCACCTACCATACCCTCCACGAACTTGAAAATAAAGAAACAAATTTCTGGAGACTTTGGATCAAACATAGGTATTTCCACTGTTAAAGCAAAAATATCAGAAGGCCCTGTGGCTGAGTGGTTAAGTTCACGTGCTCCGCTGCAGGCAGCCCAGTGTTTCGTCAGTTTGAATCCTGGGCACGGACATGGCACTGCTCATTGGACCACGCTGAGGCGGCGTCCCACATGCCACAACTGGAGGGACCCACAATTAAGAACATACAACTATGTACCGGGGGGGCTTTGGGGAGAAAAAGAAAAAAATATATCAGAAGGGCCCTTCTTGGGACAAATCTTTTACTACAGTTAGATACTTCTATTATTTATATTCAGTTTTTAATCACTGGCTGATAGATGGGGATCAGAGGACACAAAGGTACTGAATAATACTTACCATACTCACAAATAAAGTGCACTTCTGTGATCTTCTGTGAAGCATCTGGCTCCTGTGACAGCAGGTCTCCTTCCTGAGAGCAGGCACTCTGTCGGCCTCGCTCACCCCGTCTCCCCAGGGCCTCCACAAGAGCTGCCAGACAAAACGGTCAGTAAACACCTGTCAAGTGGACAAAAATGCTCCCCTGGAGTACTTGACGTTTACCAACGTTCTCTTTCCCAACTGTCTTCTCAACCAAAGGCTATTTGGCGTCAGTGTTCTTGCCCTAAAAGGCAGTCTGAGATTCAATACCGCACTGCCAGGTACCAAGTGTGCTTTAGCGCCTGATTCCATTACCCTCTGCAAGCAGACTCTTCTCAAGTAAAACAGAGAAGAGTATGTAACAGATAATCTATAATAGAGAAGAAAGTATAATGTAAAATAGAGAAGGCAGCATTGACCACAAGAGTTTTGGATGCGCTATCATGCAGCAGACAGTGCTCCAGTCCCTGGGCACGAGCTGCAGAGCTAAAGAACACCTCCACCAGAGTCAATGTGGGACCTGTTAAAAAGCTCTGGAGATAAGGCCCAAGAAACTGCATTTCAGACAAAACTTCCAGGAGATTTTCATGGGAGGAAAAAGCCCAGCATTAAACACACAGCCTAGCACAGAGATCTCAAAAGCCCTTGTGACAACAAGATTGACTCTACTGGAGGAAAGCAAGTCCTTTGTCCACGGTGGCCTTTCCATGGAAAATATTCCCCTTTCCAAGAAGGGTTCCTGTTTGATGTGGGACAAAACGAGGACCCTGTTTCTGCAGTCTGGGCTTCTAGGACTTCCATTGTCCTTGGGTTTTCTCTGCTCTAATCACTGGATCTCAGCCCTCATATGGGTCATTTCTTTTTGAAGACCTCTGTTACTCTGTTCTCCTCTTGGAGAAAGGGGTAACAGAGATCGTTTCTTGAGCTCCACAGTTCTAGGGTTTCTCTTAAGTCACCTTGTGAGCTGAAAGAAATCATGACTGGTAGATATCATGTCAATAAAGAGGATCCTAGAGGAGCATGAGAGCTCTCCCTAATGGAAGAGAGTCAGAAACATGACATGGTCCATATCAGACCTATTCAGGCGGGCAGGATTAAGGGCAGGATGCTGCCACGAGGAGGAAGAGGTAGAGCCAGAGGAATGTGAGAAGAAAGAAAAAAATAATAATGAAGATACAAAATATTGGGGGCCACAGAGCCCAGAGGCAAAGCCACGTGTCACAGTGGATTATTCCCAGGCCTTGAAACCTAATCGAGGAATTCCTGTTGCAGTTTGCCCAGCTGGATTTCCAAATTATTTTGGATCAGTGACTTCTTTAGACCTTCCATTTTCCACCTTTTGGAACTGGAATCTGAATAATTGTTATCCTATTTCTGTCCAACCACTGCACATTGGATGCAGATAAGTTGTTTCTTTAGTTTCACAGGTCTACAGATGGAAGGGAATTGTGCCCAGGAGCTGTGCTTAATGGACACACTCAGGAGCCTCATACACACTTGATGCAGATGATTTAGGTGAGATTTTGGACTTCTGAGCTGATGAGACTGGCGTGATATTTTGTACTCTGAACTGAGGCTGTCATGGGATGAAACTTTGGGAACCTTAAAAGGGAGGTGAATGTATTTTGCAGTTGGAAGGGGCACGTATCCCTGGGAACTAGAGGCTGGCCTGTGGTAAGCAGAATTTCTAAAATGATCTCCAAATATGTCTTACCCAAATCCCTGGACCTTGCTGATGTGATGAGTCACCGACCTCTGATTGTGTTGTTCTAGGGCATCACTGACTTTAAGATGGGTATGTCATGTGGGTGGGCCAGATCTAATCACACGACTCCTTAAAGACCAGAGCTTCCTCTGGCCAAGAGGAGAAGACAAAATCAGAGACAGTCAAGCATGAGACGGACTCCATGCACTGTTACTGGTTTGATGATGGAGAAGGCCTCATAAGAAAAAATAAAAGCTGCCTCTACAAGCAGAGAGTGGCCCCTGGCTGACAGCCAGCAGAAGAAATAGGAACCTCAGTCCTACAACCACAGGTAGATGAATTCTGCCAAATAACTGGTGAGCTTGGAAGAGGAGCCTGAGCATTTGGTGAAAACGCAGCCAGCTGACAACTGATTTCAAGCTTGTGAGACGCTGAGCAGAGAACCCAGCTTTGTTGCTGCAGACTTCTTACCTACAGAAATGTGAGATAACAAACGTGTGTTGTTTTAAACCACTGTTTTTGTAATCCATTAATATGCAGCAATAGAAAACTAATTCAGATGCTTACCTCTATCTCCAGATTTTTTAATTTTCAGGAACATGTATGCTAATCCCTGTAAAGCAAAAAAATCAAAGACTCAGAGTAAAAATCTTGTGCTCACCTTCATGTGACTTGTAATGTAAAGGACACTATGAAGGGCATTTCAGGCATTGGAGGAAGGTCTCTTTAATGTTACCAACCAAACATCTGGAAGACTGCAGACAGGATAATCCTGAACTCCACGTACGTTATCTGCAAATCCATCCTCCATCTCTGTTTCCTATGGCAGATGTTTCTCAGCTCATCAGACAGCTGTTACAGTAAGCACCTGTGACCAGCGTAAGCGAACCAACTCAAGGAGAGCAATAGAACAGCCACTATCTTAAGTTTCCCTCAAGTCCCCAGAATGCACTATTTCCTTGAGCTGTCATTAAAGTGAGAAAATGATCCATTATATAAAGTCCCAATCTAATCAAAATTTAAGCTTAATGGTGTCTGTTTTCCAAATTTTTCTTCTGCTCAGGTCCAGTCATGGTGACCAAGAACTGAGGATTGACTGCAAAGGGGCTTGAGGGAATTTGGGGAGGCAAAGAAAATGTTCTAAAACTGGACTCTGGTGATGGACAACTCTGTAAATCTAAAATCATTAGTTTGTACATTCAGAATTAGTGAATTTTATTATGTTGCGTTAGTCAGTGTTCTCCAGAGAAACAGGACCAATGGAGATTTATTATGAAGAAGTGACTCATGCAATTATGAAAACTAAGAAGCCCCATGATTGGCCATCTGCAAGCTGGAGACCAGGAAAGCCAGTGGCATAATGCTAGTCTGAGTCCAAAGGCCTTAGAACAAGTGGAGCCAATGGAATAAACACCAGTCCAAGGGCAGGAGAAGAGCAATGTCACAGCTCCAGCGAGTAGGCAGGAAGGAAAAGGAATACACTTTTCCATTTTTTCTTCTCTTCAGGCCCTCCAAGAATTGGACGCTGTCCACCCACATGGAGGGAGGCAAAGTATTCCACTGAGTCCACTGATTCAGATACTAATTTCACCCAAAATACCTCCACAGACATACTCAGAAATGATGTTTAATCTGAGAACCCCTTGGTGCAGCCAAGTGGACACAAAATTAACATCATATCTATGTAATTTTTTTTTAAAAAAGGTAACTTTAGTTTTCTACTCCAACATGTAAAGGGCTTGGAAGTCATGACCTCATTCTCACAACAAGAAAAGAAGCTGAACAAACTGAAAATCGACTCTTCCTAGATAAACCAGAGAATTGAAGGGCAAATTGCCACCCTAAAAACTAGAGAGACAGGCTAATGCCCGGAGTCACAGCTTAAAGGGAATAGATGCTGCTAGAGCCAGCAACTGCTAGGAACACTTAAATGGTAGTTGACCCATTGCTGGAAGCTGAAAGTGGAATGGCTTGAGAATTTAAAACTCCTGGGGGGCTCAGACTTGAGGGGAGTCCCCACGCTTTTGTGAGTTTTACCTCCAGGAGCCTGAGCAGGTTCTCATGATGAAGATCAGAAAAATCCCTAGAGGATCAACACTACCAGCTTCAAGACTTGCTATAAAGCTACAGCTACCAAAACTGTGGAACTGGTGAAAACTCAGACAATTAGACCAGTGGAACAGAATAAGAAATAGATCTACATAGATACAGTCAACTGATCTTTGACAAAGGAGCAAAAGCAATTTAATGGAGAAAGTATAGTGATAGTCTTTTCAACAAATGGTACTGGGGCAACTGGATATCTACATGTGAAAAAAAAATCAACACGGAGATCTTATACCTTTCACAAAATGGATCATAGACCTAAATGTAAGGTGTAAAATGATAAAACTTCAAGAAGATAACATAGGATGAAATCTAGGTGACTTTGAGATTGGTGATGACGTTTTAGATACAACACCAAAAGCACAATCCATGAAAGAAAAATGGATAAGTTGGACTTCATTAAAATTAAAAACTTCCACTCTGTGAAAGACACCGTCAAGCTAATTAAAGACAAGCCACAGGCTGGGAGAAAATCTTTGCAATGTATCTTTTGAAGGACTGTTCTCCAAAATGCATGAAGAACTCTTACAACTCAACAATAAGAAAGCAAACAACCCAATTTAAAAAAATGAGCCAATGATCTAAACAGGCACCTCACCATAAAAAGATATACAGATGGTAAATAAACCTATGAAAGATGCTCAAAATGATTTGTCATTAGGGAATTGCAAATTACAACAACACTAAGATACCACTACACACCTATTAGGATGGCTAAAATCCAAAACCCGATAACACCAAATACTGGCAAGGTTGTGGATTGATGGGACTCTCATTCATTAGTGATGGGAATGCAAGATGGTACAGGCACTTTGAAAGACAGTTTGGCAGTTTCTTACAAAACTAAACATACTCTTCCATTTGATCCAGCAATCACAGTCCTAGGTATTGACCCAAATGAGATGAAAACTGACGTCACACAAAAACCTGCAGGCGAGTGTTTATAGCAGCCTTATGACATTATGCAGTTGCCAAAACCCATAGAACTGTATGACACAAAGAATGAGCTCTAATGTAGACTATGGGCCTTGGTTAATAATAATGTATTAACCTTGGCTTTTTAATTGTAAAGAATGTACCACACTAGTGCAAGATACTGATAATGGGGGACATTGTGTGAGGGAGAACAGTGCTGTACGTGAAACTCTGTACTATCTGTTCAACTTATCTGTCAACCTAAAACTGTTTTAAAAAAATAATGGCTGTTGATTAAAAAGAAAAGTAAGGATGCAACACCATGAAATCGAAGCGTTGGTGGCCTCCCGGAACCTTGTGGTGAACACTGAGTGTTGAGGCACACCCACCTGGAGTCTGGCCAGTCAGTGATTTCCGTGCTTGTGCCTTCAGCCTCTGACCCTGCCAGTCCCGCTGGATCCAAATATCAGATCAGCCTTGCTTCTCCCAGCATGGAATCTCCACTTTACAAATGAGCCTGGGCAAGATTGATGGGTGTCCCAGTGTTTTCAGTGTGGTGCCCCCAAAGTAGAGCGTCTGTGTCACAAGTGAAGGCTGAGCAGGAGAGAGGTCTCATTGCCTGCCACACTCGCCTGGAATTTAGTCTCTGTAACAGGTATCTAGGAGTGGGTGGAATGAAAAATGCTGATGGACTGCCCCTCTCAGGAAGATGCCCTCACCCTTGCCTTGGAGCTTGGTGGAGAGGGTGCCCTGTGTTCTTAGCCGCATTACTTGGATTGGGGTTTCTGTCATGTTGGGCTTGGATGGGGGAGGAAGGGAACAGGTCATGGTTGAAATGCTACAGACTCTCACTGCTCTTGCCAAGTTTTAGTAGATTTTCTTGAATAAATACTTCATTTACTGCATGTCCTTAGGTCTGTTTCCAGAGACTTTAAATATACGTAGAAAAAATTCTGAATACATATATAAAGATGTAAATATTTATATACAGAGACTATATATATTATTTAAAAATATTTTTAATATATATGTAAACTTTTCACCAGTTTTGCTGGGGAGCAGGTCCGTAGAGCTCTTCACATTGCCATTCTGGAAGTGGCACTCTTCCCTTCCCCAGCTGGTTTTCGAAACTCTAGATGAGGATGCCCAGCTGGATGCTTACGCTAAGTCCCACTGCAGGAAACTTGAGGATGGGAGCCCCAGTGACTCAAACCTCCCTTCTTCTTTATTATTATTATTATTATTATTATTATTATTGCTGGCCACAGATTAGTTCATAGACTAAAACTCTTGTCCCCTTGAATTTAAATTTTCTGAGCCCTTTTGGGGTAAGGAACACTCATAAGCTAGGTAGCCCCTAAGGCAGTCCTCTTTTAGGATTGGATTCATCCTCTACACCCCATCAAGGACAGGGCAACATGGGAAACAATTGAGTTGTAAGTGCCAGCCCTCTTCCAGCAGACACACTATCTGGTGGGCAAGTTGTGTGTAGACCACCTGGAGCCTGGCCTCGATTTGGTGGTCTCTGGCACCCTCCACTGATGAGCTATCAGAAGCCTGGTGTGGTGGTAGTTTGACCATATTTCATTTGTGACGAAGTGCTGTTCGACCCAGTGAGTATGATCATCCTCTACAAGGAAGCTGATCTGGAGCTGTTTGGCTGAGGGGCCAGAGTAATCAATCTGTATGCACGTCCACAGATGCTGGCTGGCTTTGCCCCTGGGGTGGGTCAGGTTTGGGCTCATCGTGAGGATATTCAAGACATGTGCTTCCCCAGGTCTCTAGCTCAGAATTCCTCCCAGGTCAGTGTCCAGAGTTGCCCTCGTGGTTTTGGACTTATGCAGCTAACTTGGCAGATTTGAGTGGTAATTATGAAGGATATCAGGGGGCATTGTATATAGTCCTCCTCCCAGTTTGCTGGCGGGAGGTGAAAAGCACAAGAAGAGAGGCTGGTTTAGGGCTTATTGTTTTACAACTCGACCTTCAAAGGACACAAAGCATCCGTCTCCCTCCTTTGTTGGGGTTCCTACTAGCCCAGGTCCTTTTTCCCCATTCCACTGAGCACTAGGGGATCAGCTTAATGATTTAGAGCCAAATATTCTCACCAGCTTCCTTCCAGCAGAGAGGATGGCCATCGGTACTGATCTAATGGCAGACGTCCCACCACCCAGCCCTCTGCTGGCTGTCAGGACAAATTGCCTGAATGTGTGACCCAAAGGTTGAAAAGCCTACTGTCCTTTTGGCCAGTCAGAGGCTGTGATCTCGCCCTCCTGAGCTGCATCCTCTGCTCCGTGTAGCTTATTGGACCACCAGCACAGGGACTCCAGGTCCTTATCTTACCTGTGAAGCATCACTTAGAGAAAACAAAATCCAACCTCCTTGGATGCAGCTTGTCCTGGAAGGCTGATTTTAATTATTACATGCCAAACCTCCACTACCTTCTCTCCTTCCGTGAGATTTCCCACATGAAAAGCCCTAAAACTGACAGAGGGATGGTCATTTTTGAAAAACATGACATTGGGGGCCATCCTGTGTGAGGCCATCCCTGAAGTCAGAAGTTCTGCACTCTCAGACATCATTAGGGCTGTGGAGAGAGGACACGATCATGTCCTCCATCCATGAAACTTGGAAACAGGGAAATGTCTGAAGAGACAGAGAGTTGAGTGTCCAGCCCTCTCTCACCATATGAAGCCTCTGCAGAGGGAAGGGTAAAGGAAAATTGGTTCCCTCCCTTTTGACACACAAGGCAGCCTGTATGTGCTCTTGGACACGTGCCCGGCCCATTGCTCTTCACTTGAGCTAGGCCTGATGTATTTGGTCCCCAGCTGCCACAGCACTGAGTCCATC